AGCAATATCAGTATCTCATGGAAATGTGTTAGAAGTACAAATGTTCAGATCTCAACCCAGTCCCACTTAGAAACTTTAGGTATGAGGTCTAGGAATCTGTTTTTTAATTAGGACATCAGTTGATCATGATTAAAGCTGAACTTTATTATTTTTTCTTTTTTTCAAAGATTTATTTATTTATGTGAAAGGCAGAGTTATAGACAGAGAAAAAGAAAAGCAGAGAAGTCTTCATCCACTGGTTCACTCCTCAACAGCCACAACAGTAGTGCTGGGCCAATCTAAAGCTGGGAGCTTCTTCCAGGTTTCCCATGTGGGTGCTGGGGCCCAAGTACTTGGGCCATCTTCCACTGCCTTTCCAGGCCATTAGCAGAGAGCGGAATCAGAAGTGGAACAGCCGGGACTAGAACTGGCGCCCATATGGGATGCCAGCACTGCAGGCAGAGGCTTAACCAACTATGCCACAGGGACAGCCCCTAAAGCTGAACTTTTAAAAACTGCAAAATTCTAAGGCACTTAAATGTGTTTGTTCTAGGACTTTATTTAGATTTCACTACCTTTTCTTATTTTTTTTTCTCTTGTTCCTAAAGCTTTTTTTCTAGAGGCTAAGTAAGCATTAAAATTTTAGTTGATGCATAGCACACTGTCAGACATAATACTGCATTAAATTACACTCACATTAGGGTGAGCAACTGCTCTGTACTGTCTAGGACATTAAGTTTTAAAATCAAGACTAAGGAGGTTTCTAGACATGGGATTTATAGTGCTAATACCAGGAAAATTCTGGATGAACTTGGTTGTGCAGGTCTACCTATTACACTTCAGCATGTGCCAGTGACCCATTTAGAGTGATCCTACATAGACAATTAAAAAAATCTATTTTTGTTTTGAATTTCTCACGGCAAACTCTAAGCCAGCTGAAAATTTATTTTGACACAAGGTGTGAAGTGAGGCTCTAAGCTAATTTTATTCTCCTAAATAGCTAGTTTGTCCCAATAATATTTATTTAAAAAACATGCCTTTCTTACCATTAATGTCTTTGAAATATTATAACTTAAAAAGATTAAATAAAAATGTACAAACTTGAACAGTTCAGCTAGACCAATTTTGACAACTGTACTTACCCATGAAACCACTCTCCCTAATGAGATATATACCTTTTCCATCTAGCAACACAACAACATCTACCATGTACTCTTATGCCTAGTCCCAGTCACTGGCAACTGCTTTCTGAACTCCATCACCATAATTCAGTGTTGCTTATTCATAATTATCAGGTAACTGGAACCAGAGTATTTTTGTGGCATCTGTTTAATTTTAACACAGTATCTTTCAGTTACCTGTGTTGCTTCATGTTTTAGTTGTTCCTTTTTTTGCCGAGTAGTACTATGTTGTATAAATATACAATCTATTTGGCTATATTTCCTGTTAATGGGAATTCGGTTCATTTCTAGGTCTGGATTATGATGAATAAGGCTGTTAAAAATACTTACAGACTTATGCTTTTATTTTTTGTCTTGGGGAAACCCTGAATGGTAAGTGTAGATGTACCATTTCATTTACCTATCCATATTGAATGAGAGTTGCAACTGTATCACATTCTTACCAAATGAAGGTTTTTATTAATATTTTTAATCATGGCTTTAAAATAGCTATTTTTATTTAGGCATTTTTTATTGTTTAGTTGAAAGTTGTGACAAATGTGTAAGTTATCAGACACCACCACTATCACTACACTATCACCACTACATCACTCCTGTCTAAATTCCTTCAAATGCCTTTATTCATTGTGGTTTGTGTATTTCCCTGATGCCTAATGTTAAGCATCTTTTTATGTGTTTACTGGCTATTAATATACATTCTTTTGTGAAATATTTGTTTAAAACTTTTGTGCATTTTTAAGTTAGGTTACTAATTTTTTATATTGCTGACTTATGGGAGATAGTTATATATTCTAATTACAAGTGTTTTGTTAGACATATGTACTGAGAAAATAAATTACTATGTATATGCATGAGTACACACTCACACACACATATTTCTTATTATGTGGCTCACCTACTTGGTTTCTTAATGACATCTTTTTATGGTTAATGTTTTATAGTTAGTGTTTATTATCCAAGCAATATTTGCCTATCACAGGGTTGCAAAGATACTCTCCAATGTTTTCTTCTAGAAAGATTATGGATCTGGGTTTTACATTTAGATCTATAACTGTGCTGGAATTAATTTTATGTCTGTAGTAGGAGTGGCTGAAGTCCATGTTTTAATATAGAGAAATCCAGTAGTCTAGCACCATGCTGCAAAAGATTTAACTTGGCCTTATTTAAGAATTATGTTGAAGCCAGGTTCACTAAGATCTTCTGGTATGTTTTCTTCTAGAAGTTTAGTTCTATGATTCATTCAAAATGTTAATTTTTATATATTGTATGAGGCAAGGAAAAGTTTCTTTTTTTCCTCCTTTTTATACTTATTCTATCAATTACAGAAAAAGGTATGAAAACCTCCAAATGTATTATAGATTTTTCCATTTCCCTAGTTCTGATAATTTTCACTTCATGTATTTTGAGAAGATTATTTGTGCTATACACTTAGGGTTGTTAGTCTTCTTCAGGAAATGATCCTTTAATCATAAATCTATCTATGATATATACATATCTAGAACACCACAGTCTATCTTAAATTCTACTTTGTCTCATATTACTATGAGGGTACTGAAAAGGTTCATAGAATATGGATTTAGAAGATAAGTATGGTTTGGTACAAGAAACTTGAAATCCACGCAAGTTAGAGGTCTTCAAAAAGTTCATAAAAGTGTATATGAAAACAAAGAACTATGAATGGTTTTAAAAATTGTTTGGCTTGTGTGTCTTCTTCCTTTTATTTATAAAACACAAATATTGTTTTTAAAGATTTATTTATTTATTTGAAGGGCAGAGTTACAGAGAAAGAGGCAGAGACAGAGTGATCTTCCATCTAGTAGTTCACTCCCTACATGGCCCCAACAGCAGGATCTGGTCTGAAGTCAGGAGCCAGGAACTTCTTCTGGGTCTCCCATGTGGGTGGCAGGGGCCCAAGCACTTGGCCATCTTCTGCTGCTTTAGCAAGGAGCTGATCAGAAGTGGAACAGAAGTTATGGGCAGTGGTTCTACCTGCTACACCACAAAGCTGGACCTGACACATGAATCTTTCAAGTGAATGTATGATAAATAGTATGTAGTTGGGTCTTGCTATTTTTAGAACCAAGTTGACAATTTCTGTATTTTGACTTCAGGTTTTACTATAATGTGGTTATTAAGATAGTTGGATTTCTTTCTATTTATTTGTTTATTTATTTATTTATTTTACAGGCAGAGTTAGACAGTGAGAGAGAGAGAGAGACAGAGAGAAGGTCTTCCTTCCGTTGGTTCACCCCCCAAATGGCCGCTACAGCTGGTATGCTGCGGCCTGCGCTGCGCCGATCCAAAGCCTGGAGCCAGGTGCTTCTTCCTGGTCTTCCATGAGGGTGCAGGGCCCAAGCACTTGGGCCATCCTCCACTGCCTTCCTGGGCCACAGCAGAGAGCTGGACTGGAAGAGGGGCAACCGGAACAGAATCCTCGCCCCAGGCGGAGGATTAGCCTAGTGAGCCGCAGTGCCGGCCAAGATAGTTGGATTTCAATCTCACATACTGCCATTTACCTTCTGTTTCTCTTTTCCTGCATTTGTCTATATCAAGTATGTATTCTTCAGTATTTCATTTACTCTACAGTATTAACTTTTTAAAATAAAGATTTATTTATTTATTTGAAAGGTGGAGTTTCAGAGAGGCAGAGGCAGAGGCAGAGAGACAGAGACAGAGAGAGAGAGAGTCTTCCATCCTCTAGTTCACTCCCCAAATGGCCACAATGGTGGGAACTGTGCCAATTCAAAGCCAGGAGCCAAGATCTTCCTCCGGGTCCCCAACATGGGTGCAGAGGCCCAAGTACCAGAGCAGGCCTCTGTTAAATAGCAACCCAGAAGTATTTATTCAAATAAATAAACCCTCAACAATAAATTAATAAAAAATAAACCCTCAACATTAGATTAGGCAGACAACACATTTAAGTATGAAGTAGTACACAAGTAACAGGCTTGACTTAAGAGATACACAGAGAACCTTGCCGTTAATAATAGAGAATATGGGGCAGGCCCTTGGCCTAGAGGTTAAGACACTAGTTAGGACAACCGCATCTTATATTAGAGTGCCTGGGTCTGATTCCTGGCTCCAGCTTCTGATTTCAGCTTTTGGCTAATTAGACCTGGGAAGCAGCAAGTAGTTGGGTTTTTATCACTCATGTGGTAGACCTAGCTTGAATACCCGATTACAGGCTTTGGTTCCCCAGCTGTCTCAGGCACTTGAGGAGTGAATCAGAGAATGGAAGTGCATTCTCTCTCTCTCTGCCTCTCAAATAAATACATTTAAAGAATAAAAAGTCTGGGACTGGTGCTGTGGTGTAGTAGGTTAATCCTCTTGTATGTGGCACTGGCATCCCACGTGGGTGTCAGTTCTAGTCCCAGCTGCTCCTCTTCCGATTCAGCTTTCTACTGTGGCCTGGGAAAGCAGTAGAAGATAGCCCAAGCACTTGGACCCCATGTGGGAGACCTGGAAGAAGATCCTGGCTCCTGGCTTCGGATTGGTTCAGCTCTGGCTGTTGTGGCCATTTGGAGAGTGAATTAGCGAATTGAAGACCTTTCTCTGTCTCTCCCTCTTACTGTCTATAACTCTACCTCTCAAATAAATAACATCTTAAAAAAAAGTCTGTCTTAAAATGATAATACATAATTCCTTCAAGTACATTTATAAAACTGACCCATTATTAAGAAAGTATTAAAACAAAATTTATCTTATAGAACATAATTCTACAATTAAGTTGAATACAAAAAGGATATCCTTAAAACTTTAGTATATAAAAATAATCACTTTTAATAATTTATAGGTCACAGTTAAAAGAACAGAAACATTATTTTGATAAACATATCCTACCGATATAATACGATCTCCTTTTCTGAGCTCTCCACTTAGATCAGCAGGTCCTCCAGCCAAGATAAAGGAAATAAATATTCCTTCTCCATCTTCACCTCCTACAATGTTGAAACCAAGGCCTGTTGAGCCACGATGAAGAACAACTTTTCTAGGTTCCCTAAAAATTAAAAAAATATTGAATGCTTTGGAAATTTTAAGACCCTGACATTCTATCATTGAGAATTCCCAACTGGTCATTCTTATGTTATCAAACTTTAAGGAAAGCTAAATATAAACTTAAAAGGCTTTTCAAAACTGTGGGGTAAAGAGCTTTCTTCTAAGCCTATAAGTTAGGCTTAGAAATTTAAAAAATCTAATTTTCTAAAAAGCTTTCAGTGTCTTATAATAAACATAAAACTGAAAACAAAAAACAATTTGGAAACTTAGAAAATAATAATATAAAGAGACAATCTGTAAATACATACAGTACTTTATTGCCTATAACCCAGTCACTGCCCTGACTTCTTAGATTTTTAAAAATACAGTTATCCCTTCATCTTAGGTAGGTCCTTTCTCCAGTACCAAAAAGATAAATCATGAGTGAACTAACTTGTTCACTGCAATCCCATTCCTATTAGCTAAGTTGAGTATGTGACGCCATTCTGACCTCTGAGAAATGAAGCGAAATTCTCTGTCATTTCCAAAGGAGAGACCTTAACAAGTATGTGCATTACACCTGTCCCTTCAAAAAATCCCCACATATGAATGAACTTCTGATAAAATCCCTTTATTGGTCTGAACATATTACAGTCATGAAAGTGAAACCAGAGCCATAATGTGTTAATAGTTGCTACAACAACCTTGAATGAATTACATGTCCCCAGGCTTTTTACATAAAATAATTAAATATCTTTATTATTGCTCAAGCCTCTACTAGAGATTTAGTTAATGTTTTTTGTTAATTCTAAGATGTACTTATTTTTTCCCACATATATTATCTCTGAAACACATCTTCCCATTGGTAATTTTTCACCATTATTGGTAGTTATACATAGCTGTGTGATCACCATTTACCTCTTCTGGTAAGACCATGGGAATACCAGCAGCACATTATTTTGAATTTGATGAAATACAGAATGCCAATTGTAATTATTCTCCCCTCCCCACAGAAACCTTATACTTAAGGAATACAAACTTCATGCTTTCCAAAAATTCAACTTTAGGAATATAGTAACTCTTCCCACCCACACTCTCACCACTCTTTCTCCTCCCTCTCCTATTCTCATTCTTATTTTTTACTAAGATCTATTTTCAATGAATCTTATACACAGACAATTAACTCTATACTAAGTAAAGAGTTCAACACTTTGTATGAAAAGAAAAAACTATCCTTCAACAGTCGGGACATGGGCTTTTCAAAGTCACTGCATCTTCAAGTGTTAATTTCACTTTGCTAAATTATCTTTTAGGTTCCCTATTAGTTATCACAGATCAAGGAGAACATATGATATTTGCCCTTTTGGGACTGGCTTATTTCACTAAGTATGATGTTTTCCAGATTCATCCATTTTGTTGCAAACAGGATTTCATTTTTTTTTAACCACTGTAGTATTCAATGGCGTATATATCCCATAATTTCTTTTTTTTTTTTTTAAGATTTATTTATTTTATTTGAAAGGCAGAGTTATAGAGAGGCAGAGGCAGGGGCAGACTGGGGAGGGTGGTGGTGGAGAGAAAGTCTTCCATCTGCTGGTTTGCTCTCTAAATGGCTGCAAAGGCCACAGCTGGGCTGATCTGAAGCCAGGAATTTCTTTTGGGTCTCCCACATGGGTGCAGGGGCCTAAGGACTTGGGCCATCTTCCACAGCTTTTCCAGGCCTCAGCAAAGTATTGGATCGTAAGTGGAGCAGACATGACTTGAATCGGCGCCCATAGGTGATGCCAGCACTGCAGGCAACAGCTTTACCAGTACGCCACAGTGTCATCCCCCTCCCCCTTAATTTCTTCATCCTGTCTTCAGTTGACTGACATTTGGGTTGATTCCACATCTTAACTATTATGAATTTAACTGCAATAAACATAGGGGTACAGATTAATTCTTTCATTTGCTGATTTCGTTTTCCTTGGGTAAATTCTCGGGAGTGGGATATCTGGGTCACATGGTAAGATCATACTCAGATTTTTGAGATATCTCCATACTGTTCCACAGTGGCTGTATCAGTTTACATTCCCATCAACAGTGGATTAGGGTACCTTTTCCTCCATACCCTACCCAGAATTTGTTGTTTGTTGATTTCTGTATGAAAGCCATTCTAATGGGGCTGAGGTAAAACCTCATTGTGGTTTTCATTTGCTAGTGATCCTGAGCATTTTTGCATGTGTCTATTGGCCATGTGGATTTCTCTTTTGAAAAATATCTAAGTCCTTTGCCTATTTCTTAACTGGGTTGTTTGTTTTGATGTTGTTGAGTTTCCTGATCTCTTTAAATATTCTAGTTATTAAACCTTTATCAACTGCATAGGTTGCAAATAATTTCTCCCATTCTGTTGGTTGCCTCTTCATTTTCCTTAGTGTTTCTTTTGCATTACAGAAGCTTCTCAAGTTGATGTAATCCCATTTGTTAACTTTGGCTTTTACTTTTTTTTTTTTTTTTTTTTTTTTTTAAACAGGCAGAGTTTGACAGTGAGAGAGAGAGACAGAGAGAAAGGTCTTTTTTTTTTTTTCATTGGTTCACCCCCCAAGTGGCTGCTACTGCCGGCACGTTGCGCCGATCCGAAGCCAGGAGCCAGGTGCTTCCTCCCGGTCTCCCATGTGGGTGCAGGGTCCAAGGACCTGGGCCATCCTCCACTGCCTTTCCATGCCGTAGCAGAGAGCTGGACTGGAAGAGCAGCAAGCGGGACAGAATCCGGAGCCCCAGCCAGGACTAGAACCTGGGGTGCCAGCGCTGCAGGCGGAGGATCAGCCTAGTAAGCCACAGCGTCGTACAATTTTGGCTTCGACTGCGTGTGAGTCTGGGGTCTTTTCCAAAAACTCCTGGGGCTAGTGCTGTTGGCACAGCAGGTAAAGCCACTGCTTGCAGTGCCGGCATCCCATATGGGAGTCGGTTCAAGTACCAGCTGCTCCACTTCCCATCCAGCTCTCTGCTATGGCCTGGGAAAGCAGTGGAAGATGACCTAAATCCTTGGGCCCCTGCACCCATGTGGGAGACCTGGAAGAAGCTCCTGGCTGCAGATCAGCACAGCTCTGGCCTTTGCGGCTATCTGGGGAGTGAACCAGCAGATGGAAGACCTTTCTCTCGTTCTGTGTAACTCTTTCAGGTAAAATAAATCTTAAAAACAAACAAACAAACAAAAAAAAAACTCTTTGCCTGTGCCAATCTCTTGCAGAGTTTCCCAAATGTTCTCTAATAATCTGATGGTATTTTTTTGAGTGGATTTTTGTGTAAGGTGTAAGGTAGGGGTCTTTCTTCATCCTTCTGCATGTGGAGATTCAGTTTTCCCAGTAAAGAGACTGTCCTTGCTCCAGGGATTGATTTTAGCTCAATCCTTGTCAAAGTTAAGTTGGTTATAGATGTGTGGGATGATTTCTGGAATTTCTATTCTGCATCATTGGTTTACTATTTGTGTAGCAGGCTGTTTTGATTATAACTGTCTTGTGGTATGTCTTGAAATCTGGTATTGTGACACCTCCAGCTTTGTTTTTGTTGTATAAGATTGCTTTAGCTATTCAGGGTCTCCTGTGCTTCCACAAGAACTTCAGTATCATTTTTTCTGTATCTGTGAAGAATGTCCTTGGGATTCTAATTGGTATCACATTGAATCTGTAAATTGCTTTTGGTAGTATGGACATTGTAATGATATTGATTATTCCAATCCATGAACATGGGAGATTTTTCCATTTTTTTGGTGTGTTCTTCTTTCTTTAATGCTTTGATATTTTCATCATACAGATCTTTGACATCCTTGGTTAAATTTACTGAGGTAATTGATTTTTTAATGTAACTACTGTGAATGGGACTGATCTTAGAAGTTCTTTCTCAGCCATGGCACTGCCTGTGTATACAAAGGCTACTGATTTTCGTGTTCATTTTATATCCTGCTATATACTGAATTCTTCTATGAGTTCCAATAGTCTCTTAGTGGAGTCTTTTGGATTCCCTATATATAGCATCATGTCATCTGCAAATGAGGATAGTTTGAGTTCCTCCTCCTAATTTGTATCCCTTTGATTTATTTTTCTTGCCTAATGGCTCTGGCTAAAACTTCCAGGACTATACAGAATAGCAATGGTGAGAGCGGGCATCCATGTCTGTTTCCAGAATCTCTGTGGGAATGCTTCCATCTTTTCCTCATTCAATAGGATGCTGGCCATGAGTTTGTCATAAATTGCCTTGATTGTGTTGAGGAATGTTCCTTCTGTACCCAATTTGCTCAAAGTTTTCATCATGAAAGGGTACTGTATTTTATCAAATGCTTCCTTTGCATCTATTGAGAGAGTCATATGGTTTTGTTCTTCAGTTTGTTAATGTGATGTATCACATTGATTGATTTGTATACCAGGGATAAATCCAACTTGGTTCAGGTGAATGTTCATTGTGGTGTGTTGTTGGATTTAATTGGCTAGTATTTTGTTGAGGATTTTTCCATCTACATTTATCAGGGAAATTGGTCTATGGTTCTCTTTCTCTGCTACACCTTTTTTAGGTTTAGGAATTAAGATGATGCTGGCTTTATAGGAATTTGGAAGGATTCTCTCCCTTTCAACTCTTTTGAACAGCTTGAGAAGAATTGGAGCTAGTTCTTTAAATGTCTGGTAGAATTCAGCTGTGAAGTCATCTGGTCCTAGGCTTCTCTTTGCTGGGAGGGTCCTTAATACGGATTCAACTTCTGTCTTGGTTATTGGTCTGTTTAGGTTTTTTATGTCTTCAGGGCTCAATTTAAGTAGGTTGTATGTGTCCAAGAATCTATCCATTTCTTCTAGGTTTCTCAATTTGTTGTTATAAAGCTCTTTGTAGTAATTTCTGATGATTCTTTTTATTTCTGTGCTGTCACTGCATTTCCTTTTTCATCTCTAATTTTAGTGATTTGGACCAATGGTGTTGTTTTATTTTATTTCCAAAAAACCCAGCTCTTTGTTTTGTTAATCTTCTGTACGTTTTTTTTTTTGTTTCAATTTTATTTCTTCTCTAATTTTAGTTATTTTTTTTCTCCTCCTAGTTTTAGGTTTGGTTTGTTGTTGTTTTTCTAGGTCCTTGAGATGTACTGACAGCTCATTTATTTGGGGCCTTTCCAATTTTTTAATGTAGCACCAATTGCTATAAACTTTCCTCTTAACACTGCTTTTGCTGTATCCCATAAGTCTGGATATGTTGTACTGTCATCTTCATTTGTTTCCAGAAATTTTTTGATTTCTCTTTTGATTTCTTCAATGATCCACTGTTTGTTCAAGAGCATGTTATTCAGTCTCCATGTGTTTGCCTATGTTCTAGAGATTCCTGAATTGCTGATTTCCAGCTTTATTCCATAGAGATCAGAGAAGATACACAGTATGATTTCAATTGCTTTGAATTTTCTGAGACCTGATTTATGGCCTAGCATGTTGTGTATCTTAAAGGAAGTTCCATGTACTGGTGAGAAGAATGTGTATTCTGCAACTGAAGGATAAAAAGTTCTGTTAAGTCCATTTGGTCTATTTGGTCTATTGTGTCGATTAACTTTTTTGTTTGTTTCCTTGCTGATTTTCTGTCTGGTTGATCTGACCATTGCTGAAAGTAGGGTACCAAAGTCTCCCATTACTATTGTATTGGAGTCTATGTCTCCCTTTAGATCCATTAACATTTCTTTTAAATAGCCAGGTGCCCTTTAATTAGGTGCATGTACATTTACAATAGTCACTCATTCCTGTTGAATAGATCTCTTAATCATCACATAATGCCCTCCTTTGTCTCTTCTAACAATTTTTGTGTTAAAGTCTATTTCGTCTTTTATTAGGATTGCTACAACAGCTCTTTTATAGTTTCTGTTTACATGGAATATCTTTTTCTATCCTTTCACTTTCAGTCTGCATGTACCTTTGTTGGCGAGATGTGTTTCTTGTAGGCAGCAAATAGATGGGTCTTGTTTTTCAATCCATTCAGCCATTCTGTATCTTTTACTGGACAGCTGAGGCCATTTACATTCAATGTGACTATTGATAAGTAACAACTTGGCCCTGCTATTTTTCCATAAATATTCCTATTGTTTACTTCGGATTTCCTTTGTACTTTTACTGGGAGATTTTTTGCCTTTACCTTCTTTTGTAGTGATGATGGTATTTCTGTGTTTCTGGGTATAGCACATCTTGAAGCATCTTTTGTTAAGGTTGGATAAATGGCAACAAATTCTTTCAATTTCTGTATGTGATGGAAGGTCTTTCTTTCACCTTCATTCATAAATAAAGGCTTTGCAGGGTACAGTATTCTGGGTTGACATTTTTTTTCTCTTAAGATTTGGAATATATCTTGCCATTCTTTCCTAGCCTGTAGAGTTTGATGAGAAGTCAGCTGTAAGTCTTCCTCCTCCCTCTCACATTCCCACTCTTAATTTTTATAAAAATCTATTTTCTTTTCCTTTTTTAAAACTTTTATTTAATAAATTTTGAAAGTACAACTTTTGGATTACAGCAGCTTTTTCCCCCCATAACCTCTCTCCCACTGGCAACCATCCTATCTCCTATTCCCTCTCCCATCCCATTCTTCATTAAGATTCATTTTTAATTATCTTTATATACAGAAGATCAACTCAGTATATACTAAGTAAAGATTTCAATAATTTGCACCCTCACAGACACATAAAGCATAAAGCACTGTTTGAATACTAGTTTTACCATTAATTTGCATAGTACAACACATTAAGGACAGAGATCCTACATAGGAATAAGTGCACAATGACTCCCGTTGTTGATTTAACAATTGACACTCTTATTTGTGACGTCACCTGAGGCTCTTGTCATGAGCTGCCAAGGCTATGGAGCCTCTTGAGTTCACAAACTCTGACCTTATTTAAACAAGGCCATAATCAAAGTGGAAGTTCTCTCTTCCCTTCAGAGAAAGTTACCTCCTTCTTTGAAGGCCCGTTCTCTCTGCTGGGATCTCACTCACAGAGATCTTTCATTTAGGTGATTGATTGATTGATTGATTGATTGATTTTGCCACAGTGTCTTGGCTTTCCATGTCTGTGAAATTCTCATGGCCTTTTTAGGCAGATCCTTAAGGCCTTAAGGGCTGATTCTGAGGCCAGAGTGCTGTTTAGGGAATACGTCATTCTATGAGTCTGTTGTGTATCCTGCTTCCCATGTTGGATTGTTGTCTCCCTTTTAATTCTATCAGTTATTATTAGCAGACAATGGTCTTGTTTATGTGATCCCTTTGACACTTAATCCTATCTTTATGATCATTTATGAACTTAAGCTGATCACTTTGACTATATGATGGCATTGGTACATGCCCCCTCAATGGGATTGATATGGAATCCCATTGCATGTCTCTAGCTCTACCATTAGGGGTAAGTCCAAGTGAGTATGTATTGAACTGTACATCTCTTCCCTATCTAATTCCCACTCTTATATTTAACAGGGATCAATTTTAAGTTAAATTTAAACACCTAAGAATTGTTGTGTATTAATTAAAGAGTTCAACCAATGGTATTAAGTAGAACAAAAAAAATATAGAATGCTTCACAAATTTGCATGTCATCCTTGTGCAGGGGCCTTGCTAATCTTCTCTGTATCGTTCCAAATTTAGTATATATGCTGCTAAAGTGAGCACAAAAATCTATTTTCAGTTTACTTAACGATTGTAAGGTTAACCCTACACTAAGCAAATCGTATGAAGAAAAATACACTGATTCTCAACAGAACAGACAAGGGTCATAAACAATCAATGAATCCCAAAATGTCCAATTCACTATAATACACTACATTTTAGGTACTCTATTAGCTATCCCAGATCAGGGAAAATATATAGCATCTGCTTTTCAGGGTCTGGCTTATTTCACTAAGTATAATGGTGTCCAGTTGTATCCATTTTGTTGCAAAAGACAGGATTTCATTTTTTAAACAGCTGAATAGTACTCCATAGTGTATATATACCATAATTTCTTTATCCAGTCATCAGTTGATAGACATCTGGGTTGATTCCATACCTTAGCTATTGTGAACTGATCTGCAATGAACATGGGGGTACAGATAACTCTTTCATTTGCTGATTTCTTTGGTTTGGGTAAATTCTCAGAGTGCGATGGCTGGATCATATTGTAGGTCTATATTCAGATATCTAAAGGGAAACATAGACTCCAATACAGTAATAGGGGACTTCAACATCCCAATTTCATCAGTGGACAGGTCAGTTAGACAGAAATCAACAAAGAAATAACAGAGCTAATCAACACTATGTACCAAATTGACCTAACTGATATCTACAGAACAATGGCAGGTAACATGAGATAACTTGAAAGACTGCTTAGGGTCAAAATTGTGGAAAATACTTTATGTTTGGGCAAAGAATTCTGTACTTCACTATCTGGGCAAAGAAGTATAGTTATGAAAAAGGAATAAAACAATATACTTTGGAGAAGACATATCCAATAACTGATCATATGATTTTCATAGAAACATGGAATCATGTTGCTAGGGCTTGAATATTGGTTTGGGTGTCTCCCAGAGGCTCACATATTAAAGGCTTGGCCCTCAAAATCTTCTGTTTATGTTAATGGATTAGAGTACAAATTTAATCCAATTATGGGTTGAAAGGCAGGCCTTTGAGAAGCTATTATACTGCTGTGGTGGGGCCCATGATTGAGTCATTGGGCCACAAAGAAATGGATCAGTGTATTGCCTGTCTCTTTCTACTTCCTGGCTTGCCATGTGATCTTTCTGCACATGTCCTGCCATCTACTACCCTCATTAGATTTTAGACAGATGAGGCCACCTGACCTTGGACAGAGAATCTATAAAACTGGAAGCCAAATTAAGTCTCCTTCTGTTATGGTTAGCAGACAGCTAGATATGAATGGAGGTCGGATGTACTGCGAAGTCTCAAGGCCTTTCTGTATCATAACAACTCAAAAATTACAGGGTTGGCAAATGTCCCAGAAAAAGCAGCCTACTGTCAGTCATATCATTACCTTAATTAACCCTAGGCTCACTACAGTATCTTTAGTATTGTAGTTTCAGTTCTGATCTGTCCCCAAAATTGCTATGACCTACCTGAATGGAACTTACTAGCAAAGAAAATAAGTGGCACTCCTATTCCAGGAAATTTCCCCTTATTCTTAGAACTCTTTTATTCCTACCCATCATTATAAGACAAAGATAAAGGAGAAACTTCTTCAGACACTCTGGGCAGATACTCTGGACCTATGCCTGCCCACTATCCCAGATAGTGTACTTGCATTTAGAATAAAGTTTGCTTGCTTGCTCTATTCAATCTTAATCCATCCTAGAATTCTTTCCTGTGGTACAGTCAAAAACCTGGACATAGCTTCAGCTAACACTTCCTTCATAAGTAGCCTGTGTCAAGTACTTAGGTGAAGTGATCAAAAGTGACTAACACAAAGGTAGACCTGTTGTGTAATACTTCAAATTAAAATAAAGATCAGTCTAGGAGCACCTCCTAAACTAACAGCCTTGAAAATTCTTAATACCAACAAATAATTCTTCCTGCTAATTTTCATTCCAACACAACTACTGAGAATCAATTAAGTTTCCCACATTTAAGAAGGGAACAAAATACATCATTATCTGTCTTTATAGAGATCATTATCTACTAGAGTCAGGAGTCTGACAAGGATAATTATAATGATTACAATTACAAAAGTTCAAAAATAATAATGCAAATAATAATGCAGTTAGACCTAAAATATTTTTTTCATTGCTTTTTCCCCACCTTATTAGAATTCTTTGGAACTAAAAAAGGTTAATCTACAAACTTTTGTGAAGTTACTATCATTATTTAAAGGAAAACTTAGGTGTCAAGATACCAGGAATATGTATCAAAGAAAATATTACTTATTGAATTCTGAATATGAGTAACTGCCACAGTATAGTATTTTATGGTATGCATTAAATAAAAATTATATAAACAATTAGTTTAAAATATATAAATACATACTTACATTGGTTTTACCATACTAAATTTATAAGACAATTTACTAAGCTTAAAGAAAAAAAGTCACTATGAGAAAAGGAGCAGTAATTTATTTATAATACAAACTTTTCTATATTTTAGGCTCTTGAATGAATCTGCCATTGAAAAAAACTTCAGGATTACATTTGATAACTGTCAATCAACCCTTTTTAGTCTTAAAAATTCTAACTACCTGGCCGGCGCCACAGCTCAGTAGGCTAATCCTCCACCTTGCGGCGCCGGCACACCAGGTTCTAGTCCCGGTCAGGGTGCCGGATTCTGTCCCGGTTGCCCCTCTTCCAGGCCAGCTCTCTGCTGTGGCCAGGAAGTGCAGTGGAGGATGGCCCAAGTGCTTGGGCCCTGCACCCCATGGGAGACCAGGAGAAGCACCTGGCTCCTGCCTTCGGATAGGCGCGGTGCGCCAGCCGCGGCGGCCATTGGAGGGTGAACCAACAGCAAAGGAAGACCTCTCTCTCTCTCGCTCTCTCACTGTCCACTCTGCCTGTCAAAAAAAAAAAAAAAAAATCTAACTACCTTATGTGGCTAATTAAAATTTCATTTAATAGTTAACTTCACGAAAGATGAATGAAGGGCCAGCATTGTGGTGCAATGGGTAAAGCTGTTGCCTGCAATGCCAGCATCTTTTATGGATGTCAGTTGAGTCTCAGCTGCTCTACTTTTGGATCCAGCTCCTTGCTAATGCTCTTTGGGAAAATAGGAGAAGATGCACCAAGTATTTGGGCCTCTGCACCCATGTGGGAGACCCAGATAAAGCTCCTGGCTTTGGCCTGGCCCAGTCCTTCCTGTTATGGCCATTTGGGTTGGGAGTGAACCAGCAGATGGAAGATCTTTCTCTCTCTGTCTCTCTTCTATCTATAAGTCTGCCTTTCAAATAAATAGATCAATCTTAAAAAAAAAAAAAAAGATGAATGTTAAGTTCCTTACCTTGTAATTTCATCATCTCCAAGCATTCCTTTAGAAACAGGTGAGTATCTGGCTGGTGATGTAGGGGTCTGGCTCAGGTAGGAAGATGGGCTAACATGGTTATCTATAGGCTGAGAAGAAGCTTCAAAACAAAGAAAGCAAATAATTAAAAAATGAAACAAGATACCCAGTGCCTCATTTATGAATTTCAGTTAGTTAATGTATAACACATATTCACTTCTCTGTGTATCAGAATTTGGTAGATTTATTTATCAGCTAAAAAAATGGACAAACTCACTGTCCAGCTATAAACAGTCTTCAGTTCAATAAAGCAAAAATTATCTCATTTGCTTTCTTTTGAGAAAATATAACTAAAAGAGTTTTACATTAATTTCCTCACATAACAAAATCCCGTAAAGGTAATTTACAAGGTTATCATAGCAAAGACTAAGAACAGAAACTTTAAAGTATAATAACATTTTTCTGAAAGGTCATTTTACAGATTAGCTTGAAAAACACATATACTCAAATTTTGATTGTGAATAATGAAACCCTGAAGCTTAAATATAGGTGCATAGGAGATGGTGCTGTGGTGTAGTGGGTAAAGCCTATGCCTACAGCACTGGCATCTTATGGAGTCATTGATTTGAGCCCCCACTGCTCCACTTCCAATCCAGCTCCCTGCTAACGCACCTGGGAAAGCAGCAGAAGATTGCTCAAGTCCTTGGGCCCCTGCACCCATGAAAGAGACCCAGAAAAAGCTCCTGGATTCAGACCAGCCCAGCTCTGACCACTGCTGCCATTTGGGGTATGAAACACAGGATGGAAGATATCTCTTTCTCTCTAACTCTGCCTTTCAAATAAATAAAGATCCTTTCTTAAAAAAAAATGATGCATAAGCACATCCGTATAACAGCTCAGATCTGTCAATCTAGTCAATATTTATACTCAGTTTGCCCATAAGACAATGGAAACTTGGGAAACAGCAAAAATAAATCAACCCTACCTCCCTATCTACTGGCTTATTTCAATTATAATAAATATCATAGACAAGCTGTGCATCTAGCAAAAGCAAAGAACAGAAAATTATAAAGATATTTCTGAACATACTTTCCGGATACCAAAGCAAGCTACACATTTCAGTTCAAACTTACAAAGACATAGCATCCTTAAATTATCTGAATCAGTACCAAAATAAACAGAAAGCAATATTTAGTTTTCTTGAGACTTTAACTATGATAAAGTTGTAAAGCATTTCAAAGTTAGCTGTAATATTTATTATCAAACATTGATCTCTTCTTTCATTCAATTACTGATTCTTCCCAGGCAAAGCACTACACTCCATGTTGAGTAAAAAGAAAAAAAAAATCCAAGAATCATTAGCTCAAATTACTAGTCTTCAAATAGGTCACACAGAGAAATCTGAGTATTGGAAATGACTGGAACTATTATGTATATTAGAAAAAAAAAGGCATGGTTTGTCAAAAGGAGGTAGCATCTACACATCTCTATCTGTAGCCATATAAAAAGGAAGATGTCTGATATCTATTGCTAGTATAGAAAAAAAAGATATACTTTTAGTGTATCTGTTGGTGTCATAGATCTGCACTACCCAACAGCAACTGTTTTTTATCAGGTATATACACACACATGCACATACATACATATTTATACATATATGTACACACATACATACACACAGGATATTGTTTTTTAAGTAAAAGGACTTTTAAAAAAATTCATTTTAATTATTTGAGAGAGAGAGAAAGATATCTTCCATCTTCTGATTCACTCCCTAAATGGCCATAATAGTTGGGGCTGGGCCAGGCCAAAGTCAAGAGCCTGGAACTCTATCTGGGTCTCCCATGTGGGTGGCAATGATTGCTTTTCCCAGGCACATTAGCAGGGAGCTGTACTGGAAGTGGAGCAGCCAGGACTCAAACCTGTGTTCATATGGGCAGTAGGTGCTGCAAGTGGAGGCTCATCTGTGCCACAATGCTGGCCCCTCCAGGGACTTTGTAAATGGCCCTTGACTTTGGAAGTTCAAAGTATTTCCTGGGTGATATGTAAGAATATCTGTGCTTTTCAAGGAAACTAGCAGCAGATTTACCCTCTATGCCACAGCTCCAACCCCCACAGGTAACTTCTATAACCTTCTCTCTCATTTCCTTCATTATTTCTTAAAAAGCTTTTTATTTATTTATTTGAAAGGCAGATTTAGAGAGAGAGAGAGAGAGAGGTCCTCCATACACTGGTTCACTCTCTAAATGCCTGCAATGGCTGGAGCTGGGCTGATCCAAAGCCAGGAGTTTCTGCAGTGGCAGATGGTCTAAATACTTGGGCCCTTGCTACCAATGTGGGAGACCTGGATGGAGTTCTATGCTCCTGGCTCTGGCCTGGCCCTGCCTTAGCCTTTGTGGCCATTTGGGACTGAATCAGCAGATAGAACATCTATCTCTGTTTCTCCTTCTCTCTTTAATTCTGCCTTTCAAATAAAATGAAATACACAAATCTTTAAAAAGAAAGAAATATCCTATCTATGTCTATAAGGAAAACAATACTTAGTTACTTTTCTTTAGGGCTACCTTTTCCATTTTTAAATAACATTATTTTCTATTGCAATATTTCTCTCTAAAAATATTTTCTATTATATAAACTGTTTTCCAACTTTGATATCTGTGGTGCTGCTTCTGCCAAAAACATACTCTTCATCAGTCCTTGACAATCATCATATAAAAATTAAATGTGATCCAGCACTCTTTTCTATTGAGATAACAAGACAGAAGTCTGAATAGTCTTGTATTGGCTAAGGAAACTTTATTCAGAACTAAAATCTTCCCCCAAAAATTCCAGACCTGGATAGAAGGCTTCAATGACAAACTCAACCAACCCTTTAGGGTTGAAATAAAACAAATTTTACAAAAACTTTCAGAGAATAAAAAAGACGGTACTCTTTCAACACATGATTTGAGACAAACACAAACATAATATCAAAATCTGACAAGGTCATTAAGGGAAAGGAAATTTTCAGGACAGTACCATAAGTTCAAAAGTATGTACACAGATGTACAACCCTAATCAAAATGTAATCAATTAGAACCCATTGAAATATAACACATTGCATGTCTGTGTGGATTTATTCTCAAAATGGAAGTTTGGCCTAACACTAGAAAACCAGTGTAATTTACCACATTAGTAGAATAAGATAGAAAAATCACCTCAATAAATAATGAAATTCAACACTAACGGACAAAAACTGGGCACTGAAAACACAATTCAGGTCTCCCATTTGGGTCACAGGGACTCAGTTACTCCATTCATCATTGCTGCCTCTCAGGATCCGTACTAGCAGGAAGTTGGGAGTCAATAGAGCCAAGCTGGGTATCAAACTCAGTTACTCCAATATACAACACGGGTGTCTTAATTGCTCGGCCAAATAGCCACCTTTAAGGCTGATGTTCTTTTTACCTTAAAGCTTTATTTATTTGAGAGGTAGAATTACAGACAGAAAGAGGGAGACCCAGAAAGATAGAGATCTTCCATCCACTGGTTTATTACTAAATGGCCAAAACGGCTGCAGCTGAGCTGATTAGGAGCCAGGAGCTTCCAAAGGGTCTCCCACATGGGAGGGGCCCAAGCACTTGGATTGTTTCCTGGCTTGCCACATAATATTTCCCTCTGCAAGTGCTCCACCCTTACCAGACATCAAACTGATAGAGCTGCCCAATTTTGATTGTAACCTCCAAAACTATGAGCTGAATAAACCCTTTCTCTTTAGCAGCCTCAGGTATTTCATTATAGTAATGAAAAGCTAAGTAATTCACCAACTTAAAAGAAGTAGAAACATGGGGGAGAAAAAAACACAAGAGGGCAATAAAGTGATAATGTCAAATGACTGAGAGTCAACATGAAGTTGAACTGTTAGAATAGAGATGACGTAACTGAGGGTAGTAATCATAGAACAGAGTAATTTAAATTGATATTTTAGGAGTGATGAGCTATTGATAATTACAAATAAGATAAAAAATATAGGGGCCAGCACTGTGGTGCAGCAGGTTAAATCCCTGGCCCGAAGCACTGGCATCACATATGGGCACCGGTTCTAGTCTCAGCTGCCTCTCTTCCGATTCAGCTCTCTGCTATGGCCTGGGAAAGCAGAAGATGGTCCAAGTCCTTCCATTTTTAAATAACATTATCATATATGGAAAAGGATAATTCAATTAAGAAATAATATTTTTCTCAGGTTAACATCTTTGAAAGAAGCAGCATGGTTATTTGTATATTAGGCTATAATGAGGACCCCAATTCTTAACTGACACAAATGGGAACATGGTTGTCTTAAAGAGACAGGCAGTATTCACAGGAAGACTGTTACATGATTTGATGAATAAAAGATTATAGAAATTGCTTCTTTAGTCACAAATAAAAATATAAAAACTTATAAAATGTGTAAGATCAAGTGCATGCAAGAATTTCAAGTAGAAGGTTCTTCTCTTTGACACAAAAGAAGTGTAAGATACCATTTCTGTCCATTAGAGTGGGATGAATAATATTAAGAAAATGATTCAGCTGTTTGGGAGCAATAAGTCAATGAGCAGTTAAAAATATATTATCAGGGGCTGGCATTGTGGCATAGAGGGTTAAGCTGCCTGTGACACCAGGATCCTATATGGTACCAGTTTGAGTTCTAGCTGCTCCACTTCTGATCCAACTCCCTGCTAATGTGCTTGAGAAAGCTACGGAAGATGGCCTAAGTCCCTAGGCCCCTGCACCCATGTGGGAGACCTGGATGAAGTTCCTGGTTCCTGGTTTTGGCCTGGCCCAGCCCTGGCTGTTGTGGCCATTTAGGGAGTGAATCAGAAGATGGAAGATCTTTCTCTCTTCTCTCTCTCTTTCTGTGTCTCTGCTTCTCTTTAATCCTGGCTTCAAAATAAAAAAATAAATCTTTAATATTATCTAAGGACAGTATACAGATTTCAAAATATAATCTGTATCTTATAATAATGTTAGTGATGAATCTTGACAGTTTGAAAACTGGAAACACTGTCATTTACAAATCAAATACATGATTTGATAGAGAATATTTTAAAAATACTGTAATTTAGAAAAGGAACACTCAAAAGCAAATGTACAAAGAGTATATTTAAGATCTTTATTACTTATGGGTTCCTCTAACATTAACTCAATGCACAGAATAATGCTTTTATTTTTCAACCAAAACAAATGTCAGTGGTTTAAGATTATGACAAATATGTCATATTAATATAAGATGTCAAAACAGGGGAAGCTGAATATAGAATATATGAGAACTCTTTGTACTACTTTACAATTTTTGTTTTGTAAATTTAAAACTATTCTGAAATCAAAGTTTCCAAAAAGGATATTTAAATCTCTCTCCCACTTATACATTAAAAAAAAAAAAACCTGACAATCAAATGAAACTTTTAAGGATGTAAGTAGTTTAGTAACAATTGAATTCAAATCCACTGAATTTCACACAAATATGGTATGCAATGTAAGAGGAAATTGTGATATATAAAGAAAATATCTATTCTCATGTAGCTGAGATTCTAAATCCTGAAATTTCAGAAATATTTAAAACCAGTGCTTTGCAAAATGTAGTCTATGAACCGCAGCACCAGAAGCATCAGAATGACTACGCTTGTTAACAGAATTAAACTATACATTAAAGCAGTTTCTGTGCTCAATCCCAAAAGCATCAGAAGAAAACAAACAAAAAAACGTTGTATTATCACAAATATCCCTTGGTGACTTATTTACACAAAGTTTGTGAATCAGTGCCTTAAATGTTAAAATTATCTAGTATAATAAAATAATAAAGGTGAAAAAGGATCCCCCCTCCATTAATATGAAGATTCTCAATAAAAACAGATTAAAATGCTTAATAGTTCTTTAAAATATTTTATATTATTACAATTTTTATATTATGTTCTCTTATACTAGGAACATTTTATTAGAGTGTATCATATCTAAAGGTAAACTTAAGCAGACTTACAATTGGTGATATCAGGTGGTGCGTAGCCATCATTCATATACATACTTGTGGGTTTTGCCACTTTCAAATAAACAAAATCAGATGTGTTCTTTAAGGCAGTTACTGCCTCCTCGTGAGTAACTTCTTCTAAACACACACTATTTACCTAAAAAAAAATCCCGAAGACAATTATTTTAAGACATTTTCACTTGCTTTCTTGTTTCTGGTTATAAATAATTATACCAAAGATAGGGAAAATAACTGACCTAGGAAAATAAAGGTATGTGAAAAGAAAAATCCTAGTAGTTTTGATTGTATATGATATCAGGAAGTTGTTTATGTACATTAATGGAATTGTCAATCTTGATTCTAACATCTATTCTTACTGCTCTAGCCTCAATTTCCTCTCACTCTTAGGCATTTAGGAACGTGTATAGTAAGTTTTCTTGTTTTTAAAACCATAATATATTTTTTGTTCTGCAAATAAATCATTTTATTTAGGTAGCTTAGAAATTGCTCTATGTTGGGAAACATAGAATTAGTACGTTTAAAAAAATTGTTACACAGAAGCCAGGAGCTTCTTCTGGGTCTTCCACTTAGGTACAGGGGTCCAAGCAATTGGGTTGTCCTCCTCTGCTTTCCCAGGTGCATTAGCAGGGAGTTGGATTGGAAGTGGAGCAGCCAGAACTCAAACCAGAGCTCATAAATGCCTGTCTCTAACAGATATTTAATTTTTCTCCTAAATGGCTTTACTAAATTTGCACTCATTATTACAGTATATAAGACTGACAATCTACTTAGATCTCTGCCAACACTGAGTATTATTAAGTCTGCAAAATGGTGTTTTAATTTTTGCATAAATTATTTAAAAATCTGTACTTCTATTAATAAAAAGTTGAATTTTCTTCAATTATTTATTGACCATTCATTTATCTTATTTTTTTGACAGGCAGAGTTAGACAGTAAGAGAGAAAGAGAGAGAGAAGTCTTCTTTTTTCCACTGGTTCACCCCACAAATGGCCACTGCGGCAGGCGCTCTGTGCCGATTCGAAGCCAGAAGCCAGGTGCTTCTTCCAGGTCTCCCATACAGGTGCAGGACCCAAGCACTTGGGCCATCCTCCACTGCCTTCCTGGGCCACAGCAGAGAGCTGGATTGGAAGAGGAGCAACTGGGACAAAATCCAGTGCCCCAACCGGGACTAGAACCTGGGGTGCTGGTGCCGCAGGCGAAGAATGATTAGCCTAGTTAGCTGTGGCACCAGCCAGACCATTCATTTATCTTCCATATAGAGATAGTTGATTTTTAGATAGCTAAACTGTATCCTGCAACTCTATTTATTAATTGTAGATTACTGAGGATTTCCTAAAAACAATAAGATGTCATCTATAACTATAGTTTTAATCCTTTATTTCCAGTCTAAATTTTTTTTCTTATTGCCCTGTCTAGGATTGATATTATAATTAAGTATAACATTGAATAGAAGCAGTAGGTCATGTTTTTCTTGGAACACAAAGTTGTTCATAGTATTCTCTTATAGTCTCTTTCATTCTTGCTTTTATAAATTTGAGATTTCATTTTCCTTCTTGACCAGAATAGCTAAAGATTAGTCAATTTGTTAACTGTCTCAAAAAACAAACTGTTAGTGCTCACTTCGGCAGCACATATACTAAAAAACAAACTTTTGGTTGTTAATTTTCTCTATTGTTTTTATATTCCCTTTTCCATTAATTCTGGTCTATTCTATACTATTTCCCTCCTTCTGTTTGCTTTAGGTTTGAACTGGTCCTCTCTTTGATAAATTTTTTTTTATTTTTGCAAAAGAATAATCAAGATTTATATATTTATTTGAAAGTCAGAGTTGCACAGAGAGAGGAGAGGCCAAGAGAGAGAGAGAGTTTTGTTTTTTTTTTTTTTGACAGGCAGAGTGGACAGTGAGAGAGAGGGAGACAGAAAGGTCTTCCTTTGCCGTTGGTTCACCCTCCAATGGCCACCATGGCCGGTGGGCTGCGGCCGGCGCACCGCGCTGATCCGATGGCAGGAGCCAGGTGCTTATCCTGGTCTCCCATGGGGTGCAGAGCCCAAGCACTTGGGCCATCCTCCACTGCACTCCCTGGCCACAGCAGAGAGCTGGCCTGGAAGAGAGGCAACTGGGACAGAATCTGGCGCCCCGACCGGGACTAGAACCTGGTGTGCTGGCGCCGCAAGGCAGAGGCCTAGTGAGCAGCGGCGCCAGCCAAAGAATAATCCTTTTATTTTAAATTACAGTGCACTAAAAATGTTTAATACATTTTCACTTCCACAATCAGCATCCTTAAAATTAACACAAGAGCTTTTTATGTTTTGAATAAAATGTTTAAGTCACAGAAGAATCATAATTTTCTTTGTTGATTATTAATACTGCTTTGCAGGGGCCGGTGCCGTGGCTCACTTGGCTAATTCTCTGCCTGCGCGCCGGCATTCCATATGGGCTGCTGGGTTCTAATCCCAGTTGCTCCTCTTCCAGTTCAGCTCTTGCTGTGGCCCAGGAGGGTAGTGGAGCATAGCCCAGGTGCTTGGGCTCTTGCACCCACATGGGAGACCCGGAAGAAGTGCCTGGCTCCTGGCTTTGGATCGGCGCGGCACCGGCTGTTGCGGCCATTTGGGGAGTGAACCAATGGAAAGAAGACCTTTCTCTGTCTATAACTCTGTCAAAATAACAAAAAAATACTGCTTTGCAGAGCTTTAGCTGGTCATTTTTATGGTTTCAAATTGTCATGCAAAGCAAGGGCTGCCTGCATTTTGAAATATGCATATGTGATATACTTTTCCTTTAGTGGCCTGCAATGAGCCATATATCCTGTTATTCATATCCTCATAAAATCTCTACCTTGGGGCCAGTACGGAGGTGCGGCAAGTTAAACTACTTCTTGTGACACTGGCATCCTGTATCAGGATATCAGTTTGAATCCTGGTTGCTCTGCTTCTAATCCCTACAAATGTGCTTGGCAAAGCAGCAGCAGATATGTAACTTGCTTGACATGTAACTACCTTTGTCAGTGAGACATAACAACTGTGGTACAAAGACAAGATTGATAAATACATTAGAGGTTATCCTCTTGGAATCTAGTCGCCAATCTGTGAGCCACCACGTGGAGAAAGCACTGGAGAAATAAATACCTGGTCAACAACCCCAAGCAATCTCCCAGCTGACAGCCAATACCAACTTGCCTCTCATCTGTGTGAGCCAGCTTGGAAATGGGTTTGTCCTAGTTTGGCCATTCCTACATGGATCAGAGGCAAGTTGTTGCTGTCGAGCCCTACCCAATTCACAGATGTGTAAGCAAACATGATTATTACTGGTTTGGCCTTTTATTTTTTAATGCAGCATTAGAGAATTAAACTAAGAGCTGACAAGATTTGCTGAGGGATTCAATATGGCATATAAAATAAAGAGGATGCCTTCAAAACTGTAAGATCTGAGCAAAGTTATATGACCATTAACCAAAGAGTCTATAGTTTAAAAATCAGTGACATTGGTGGGAGTGAACACTGATAAAGAAGAGAAATAGTCCAAGGACTGAGTCCTCGGTCACTTCAGTGTTTAGAGTTTTGGAGGATGTACCATAAAGGGAGAATGAAGAGTGGCTAGGAGAAAAGATAAACACCCAGCTAGAGAGTGACTTTTAGGTAAAATGAAGAAAGTGTTTGAAGGAAGAAGGAGGTGTGTCAAATGCCAGATGAGCCAATTAAGATGAGGATGGAGTCCGCCTGTGGCACTGGCACCCCGGGTTCTAGTCCCGGTCGGGGTGCCGGATTCTGTCCAGCTCTCTGCTGTGGCCCAGGAGTATAGTGGAGGATGACCCAAGTACTTGGGCCCTGCACCTGCATGAGACCAGGAGGAAGCACCTGGCTCCTGGCTTCGGATCGGGGCAGCGCGCCGGCTGCTATGTGCTGGCCGTGGCGGCGGCCACTTGGGGGATGAACCAATGGAAAAAGGAAGACCTTTCTCTCTGTCTCTCTCACTAACTCTGCCTGTCAAATAAAAAAAAAAAAAAAGATGAGGATGGAGAATTACTTAATTTCAGTGTAATTATGAAAACAAAAGCCTCACTGAAGAGAATTCAAGAGAAAATAAGAGTACTTAAGAGTACTGCTATGGTGGTAAAATCAGCACAGGTTGCTCCCTCCTTATCACCAAAATTGTTCTGGGAAACCAAAAAGGAAAACGTAGTGTCCAAGATTTAAACATGAAAGTGAGGAATCTAATGGAGATAGAAGGTCTTTTCTTTGGTGGTGTGTGTGTCTCTAGGTGGTGATTTTGACATGCTGGTTGTAGCGGGAAAGATGGTGACCGTGCCTGTGAGATGGTAAGTTATAGAAAAGTAGTCCAAATATCCTTCTTTCCTCTTCACCATCATTAATTTAAAAGAAGAAAAATCAGTCTCCTTGGTGCAACAATAAGCAGTACTACACAGAATACAGAACCCAATAATCTTTTACATATAGCTGATGAGAGTGTAATATTTTATAAGCAATATAGAAAACATAGAATTTTTAAAAGTGATTCTCCTAAAAGGAAATCTAATCATCTACTAATTTCATGCCTAGGCAAATAGTCAAGTGAAACTCATACATGTTCATTAGAACACATAGCAGCTCTTCCTAGAAGAATCATTCACAATATCAGAAAAAAATTAGAAACAGCTCAGCTTACCACTATCCTGGACCCAGTCTGTGTGCCCTTAGATTTACTGGGGCCCACCAGCGACTAGACCTTAGTTGCTTTCTCAGTCCTGGTTACAGTTGCTGTTACTTTGTCTCCTACCATTACCAGTTCTCTCAGCTAGCTTCTTCTAACATGGACTAGGCATGGCTGATATATCCCACACAGTTGAGACTATAACACTATCTGACTTACATCTGACTAATCTAGACCACTGATCCTCTATAAGCTACACTTATGAAATTATAGCCAAGAGCCTTTGTTATGGCACAGTAGGATAAGCTGCTGCAAATGATGCCAGCATCCTGTATCAGAGTGAATGGCTGCTCATATGAAATGCTGGTATCACAAGAGGTGGCTTAACTTGCTGAACCACAATGCTAGCTAGCCCTCACTGTTTTGTTTCTGATTCAGCTTCCTGCTAATTCATCTGGGAAGGCAGTGGAATATGGCCTAAGTACTTGGGTTCCAGCCACCCACATGGGATGTAAGGACAGAATACCCCATTCCTGGCTTTAGCCTGGCCCAGAGCTAGGGGAGTGAACCAGCAGATGGACGGTATATCTACCTCTCCCCACCAACCCCCATTGTAACTGTGCCTTCCAAAACACACACACACACACACACACACACACACACACAAAACAGCTCAGAAACATTCTACCTTGTATTGACTTTCCTTCACTCTCACTTTTATTGGCACTCACTCTAGATTTTCTGAGATCACACCTCCCCAAATCATCTTAGCATGTTAGTTTTTCTTCAGGTTCCATTTTTCCAGGGAAAAATGGGCTGAGGTAGTTACTGAAGAAGAATGGATAAATAAATTGTAGTTTGGTCACATAGCTGAATATTATATGGAGATGAAATGAACAAATTTCATCTCTAGGCAAGGATATGAGTCTGAGAAAAACAAAACTGTGAAAAAAAAGCTTTAGAAGAAGTATTAAAAGAGTTTAATCAAAAGCCTTTCAAAAAGTTTCCAAGAAAATACTAAACAAAATAGTTAGACATATATTGTGATTAAACAACTTTTAAGAAGAAAAGAAGGAAATAAAAATTACTGACGTGCCAGTTCTTAGGCCAGGGAATCACTTTATACCAGTTTTCATTATATCATAAATTAACTAAAGTAAAACAAAAGAGAGTCATGCATGAACAAATAATGACACCGTATTATAAACTTGATTGTGATTAAACAATTCTGTGCATTTTCAACAACCTAACCCTTCAATAAAAAATGAAAAGGAAAAAAATAAATAAAAGAAAAAGAGAGGAGGGATGCTAGAGAAAATCAAAATGACAAATAAAAATACAAAAATTATTTTCCAAAAGTTCTGATAAGGCAAGGCTTATAGTCACTCATTTAAACATTATAGAAACTTCAAGTATGTACAAAGTCCAGAGACTGCTTAAAAAAAAAACAGGACATCAAAATGATTTTTAAACAGATGTCTTAGACTTACTGCTAGAAGTTTATCTCCAATTTGAAGTTTGCCATCCTTATGTGCTGCACCTCCTTCAATTATCTTGGTGACATAAATGCTATTATCCCCAGGAATATGCTGATTTCCAACACCTCCAGCAATGCTGAACCCAAGACCTGCTTGGAAAGCACTGGGTTTAGATTCTCATCAATAAACAGGAACATAACCCCAGAAACAAACAGTTTATAATTAGAAGGTAACAATTCCATCTTACTAATTTTTAAAATGTAAAGTTAGCTATCTTCTTTTTAAATTCTAAGTATTTGTTTTGTTTTATAAACAGGGACAACTAAAAATACAGGCATACCTATAGTCCTCGTTTGGGTGATTGGCTTCTTTTCATAAGTATTTAACATTCTTCCACGTATTTTTTTTTAACATTTTATTTCTGAATACTTTTAAATTTACAAAATTAAAACTGTGTAGTAGTAGGGCTGGCTTTGTGACACAGCAAGCCTGCAATGCAGACATTCCTTATGAGTGCCTATTTGAGTCCCTGCTGCTCCATTTCCAATCCAGTTTCCTGCTAATGTGCCTGGGAAGGCAGTAGAAGACAGCCCCAGTGCTTGTGTCCCTGCATGCATGTGAGAGACCTGGATGGAGCTCCAGGATCCTGGCTTTGGCCTGTCTCTGGCCTTGCCCAGCCCTTGCCATTTGTGGCCATTTGGGGAATGAGCCAGCAAATGGAAGGTGCCTCTCCTTCTCAACCTGTAACTCTGCCTTTCTTTTATTTATTTATTTATTTTATTTAATTTTATTATTTTTTTTGACAGGCAGAGTGGACAGTGAGAGAGAGAGACAGAGAGAAAGGTCTTCCTTTTGCCGTTGGTTCACCCTCCAATGGCCACTGCTGCTGGCGCGCTGCAGCCAGCACACTGCGCTGATCCGAAGCCAGGAGCTAGGTGCTTCTCCTGGCCTCTCATGGGGTGCAGGGCCCAAGCACTTGGGCCATCCTCCACCGCACTACCTGGCCACAGCAGAGAGCTGGCCTGGAAGAGGGGCAACTGGGACAGAATCTGGCTCCCCGAGCGGGACTAGAACCCGGTGTGCCAGTGCTGCAGGTGGAGGATTAGCCTATTGAGCCGTGGCGCTGGCCAACTCTGCCTTTCAAATAAATAAATCTTAAAAAAAAATGAACTGTGAAATAGTAATAATACAGAGTTTCCATATCCCTTCATCTTACTTCCTGTATTAACATCTCGGTCCTTTTTTAAAAATTGTTTTCCCCCAGGTTCCTTCTTAAAGTTTTTTTGTAAATGCGTTTGCTAATACTCCAAAGACATTGTAAATGTTTTACTTTTGTTTCTATCATAATTTTGCTTCTAACATTTCTAATATTTTTACAATATTAAAATAAATAATAAAAAATTGTCTGTGGGCAGAACCAACAGGCTTCAGAATCAGGTAGTTTACTACCCCAAAGTCTCTGATGCTCAGGACTGAGCTAGGGCAGGCCTTCCATGTGGGTGGTCAGAACTCAGTTACTTGAGCCATCACTACTGCTTCCCAGGGACTGCATTAGCAGGAAGCTGGAAATTAGCAGCAAGAAATCAGACACTCTGACATGGGACACACACATCCTATCACTAGGCCAAACACTTGCCCATGCGATGCAGACAGTCTAAAGTTCTATTTAAACAAAAATCGGTAGAAAAAAACAGAGCAATTCTAAAATCACTCAAGTTCTATAGATTACTAGTATTCTTTTTTTTTTTTTTTTTTTGACAGGCAGAGTGGACAGTGAGAGAGAGAGACAGAGAGAAAGGTCTTCCTTTGCCGTTGGTTCACCCTCCAATGGCTGCCGCGGCCGGCACGCTGCGGCCGGCACACCATGCTGATCCAATGGCAGGAGCCAGGTGCTTTTCCTGGTCTCCCATGGGGTGCAGGGCCCAAGCACTTGGGCCATCCTCCACTGCACTCCCGGGCCACAGCAGAGAGCTGGCCTGGAAGAGGGGCAACTGGGACAGAATCTGGCGCCCCAGCGGGACTAGAACCCGGTGTGCCGGCGCCGCAAGACGGAGGATTAGCCTATTGAGCTGCGGCGCCGGCCTACTTGTATTCTTAATCTTGGAATGAGTGCCATAAGTGAATTCACAGTTGTATTTATCTCAGAGATTTCTTAAAAATTTATCATAGTTTGGTTTATCACATACCTTTAGGACCTTTAATGAGCTTTATTTCCATTATTTTTTCTGATACTGGTTTCCGTCTTTTTACATATAAGCGTACAATAGACCCTGCTTCTTTCAATGCTTCAACTGCTTTGCTGTGTGTAACATCACGAACATCTACTTCATTTACTCGCAAAATACAGTCATTGACCCTGAGGGGGGAAAAAAAATCAAATGAAATATTAAAAGTAAAAACTGAATGTTAAAAACTTAAATATGAATTTTCCATTTTACCTTTTTTCCCCCATTGTTTAGGTAAGAATTATTTACTCCAGAATATACAAATGAAGAAAATATATTAATTTAAATGTGTCAATTACTAATATAAATAAAAGCAAATATTTCCCAAGTGCAAGCCCAGGGAGTAAAACAATAGTGTAGACTATAGATTATTACATAAAAATATTAATTACAGCTACCATTTATTACATGGAGGCATTAAGATATTTTACAAAACTAGCAAACATTTATTTAGCACTAAGCACATGCTAGGTATTTTTTTAGTGTTCCAACCCTTGTAACAACTTGTTAGTGGATAGAAATTTTTATCCCCACCTTACAGACTAGAAAACTGAGACACAAAGAGTTTAAACAGCTTTCTCAAGGCCACTTAGATAGCAAGTAACAGAGCTATTAATTCAAAGATAAGGGAAACAGGCTGTTTCTTATGGCATTTAAAGTCACAGGGGTAGTATGAAGACTGAGATTAACTAACTGACTTAACCAAAACTAATTTTTTGAGCACCTTTTTCAACCTCTAGCCTAGAATTAAAATAATTGAATTACTTCTTCACATTTATATTACGTAAAAGATTTAGGGAACATAATTCAAAGATTTTTTTATGTAAATTACTTACAATTAGACATGCTAATTTAAAAAATATTCATTTGAAAGTCAGAGTTACAGAGACAAAGGGAGAGAGAGAGAAAGAGAGAGATCTTCTATCTGCTGGTTCAATCCCTAGATTACCACAATGGCCAGTGCTGGGTGACAGAGGCCCAAAATCCTGGGGCCATCTTCTGCTGCTTTTCCCAGTCAGAAGCCAGGACACAAACTGGTGCCCATTTGGGATCCCGGCATAACAGGTGGCAAATTTACTGGATATTCCACAATCCCAGCCCCAGCAATATGTTTTTTGAAAGTCCTGATTTGTTTCTAATCTTGAACTTTCCTCCTGGTTCTGGCCTCAGTTTCTATTGTTTTACATTAAGAAAAATAAAAAAAGTTATTCATACTGGGCAAGGAGGGAGAACAAAACAGAAGTAAAATATTAAAACTGGTCCTGATAAACGTCTGCATTGATTTAACTTTCTTTGGAGGAACTGCATATCCAAAGGTAGTGATACCTTAAAGTTAGTAGTGTAGGTATATTCTTCAGTGATGCAGAAGGACCAGAGTAATTTTTCAACATAAATAAAAGACCAGTAACAAGGGCAGACATTTGGTGTAGTAGTTAATGCATTAATTGGGATACCGGCTCCCCCTACAAGAGTGCTGGGTGCAAGTCCTAGTTCTTGTTCATTAGAGCTTCCTGATGATGTGCACCCTTGGAGGCAGCAGGTGATGGCTCAAGTACTTGGGTCTCTGTTATTCATGTGGGAGACCTGGTTTGAGTTCCTAGCTCCTGAGCATTTGGGGACTGTACTAGCAGATGGGAGATTTCTCTCTTTCTGCCTCTCAAATAAAATAATTTAAAAAAGAAAAGGCCAGTAAACAGAAAGTAAAGCTCTACATTTACATGAATGGTCAAATCGTTTATGTCTATAGTTAAAATTTTATTGATACACCAGTTGTCTTATCCTGTGAGAAGTTTAGAAACTAAAAAGCTGCATATGGTACCAAAAGCTTTAAATTAAGATGCTCTTTTTAACAAATCATTTAAAATTATGATCCCTAAAACTTCAGGTTGTTACCACGAATGTATAAAAAGGAACAAATAGAGGGTGGTACTGTGGTGTTGTAGGTTAAGCCTCTGCCTGTGGTGCTTGTGGCATGGGAAAGCAGCAGAATATGGCCCAAATGCTTTCGTCTCTGCACCAATATGGGAGACCCAGAAGAAGCTCCTGGCTCCTGGCTCCGGATCAGCTCAGCTTTGGTCAATGCGGCTATGTGGGGAGTGAACCAGTGGATGGATGATCTTTTTCTGTCAATCCCTCTCTCTGTAACTCTGCCTCTCAAATAAAAAAATAAATCTTAAAAACAAAGAAAGGGGAATAGGAAAAGTGCCATAACTTATGGCCTAAGGAAACAACGGACTTTGCGACAGACATCTTCCAAAATCAATACTGGATCTATCAGTATTATTTTCATCTAACAAAATACATTGTTTTAAAGTTTGCTTATATGTTACTCTTTGTGTCATGAGATACAAACTCAGATACATATGATCACTTGAATCTTTTTTTTTTTTTTTTTGACAGGCAGAGTGGACAGTGAGAGAGAGAGACAGAGAGAAAGGTCTTCCTTTGCTGTTGGTTCACCCTCCAATGGCCGCCACAGCTGGCGCGCTGCGGCCAGCACACGGCGCTGATCCGAAGCCAGGAGCTAGGTGTTTCTCCTGGTCTCCCATGGGGTGCAGAGCCCAAGCACTTGGGCCATCCTCCACTGCACTCCCGGGCCACAACAAAGAGCTGGCCTGGAAGAGGGGCAACTGGGACAGAATCAGGCGCCCCGACTGGGACTAGAACCTGGTGTACCAGTGCCACAGGCGGAGGATTAGCCTATTGAGCCGCGGCGCCGGCAAGATCACGTGAATCTTAAATAAGTTTATATACATTTTCCCAAATAGAAAAGAAATTGGAAATATCTTGTTGACGTATTATAAATATACAGGGAAACTCACGATTCTATAAATTTGCTTACAAATCAAACACATTTATTATTTACAATGTTATATGCATAAAATATATGAAAAAATTGGGGCCAGCACTATGGTGTAGTAAATTGAGTCTCTGCCAGTGGTGCCAGCATCCAATATAGGTGCTGGTTCAAGTCCTGGTTGCTCCACATTTGATCCAGCTCCCTAATGGCCTAGGGAAGCGGTAGAAGATGGCCCACGTGCTTGGGCACCTGCACCCATGTGGGAGACCCACAAGAAGCTCCTGGCTCTGGACTGTCCCAGCTCTGGCGGTCAAGAGCATTTGCGGAGTGAACCAGTGGATCGAAGACCTCTCTTTCTCCCCTGCTCTGTCTGTAACTCTGCCTCTCAATAAATAAGTCAATTTTTTCTTTAAAAAAAAAAAAAAAGATAAAAATTAAATTCCTAAATGAAAAGAGGGAATCAATGCTTATAGCATAATTACCTCATCCATTCATTTAAATACTGTTAGTTACTATGCCAGTGTTTCACATTTATCCTTGATAAGTCTGCATCAAGAAGAGAATATAAAGCAGATTCAAAAATCACAACATAATGTGCAAAACATACCGTAATCTTCCATCTTGGGCAGCTGCTCCCCCTGTGATAATTTTTGTAATGAAAATACTTGAGTCATCTCCAATGTGTGGGTTGTCTGTACCTCCTGCAATGCTGAAACCAAGCCCTGAATTTCCCTGGGGACAGAGGGAAAAAATCTGAAGCTGAATAAGAACTGCATTTATTGATGGGTTCTTGTAATTAAAGGACCCAGGAACTGCACTAACATGAGAAGCACATGTTTAGATACATAAAGGTTTAGGTCTGGGTAATATGAAAATTCTAAATTAAATGGGCATGCCTTTTTTTTTAATGGAAGTCTTTTCAGAAGCAATTACTGCTGAGTAGATGACGATAAATAAAATGTAATGGGTACTTCTGAAATTTAGTGTGTAGTTTTTTCTTTAAAAGAAATGTCCAATTTGTCCTGGGATTAATCACCCATCTGCATAGGTGTCACTATAAGTGTACTGTATCTCACCCATGTTTGTTAGGGTAGATCTTTTTTAAGCAACAAACAGTGAAGAATCTTTTTGCTGCTGAGTAGGTAAAACCATATTATTATTTCAGCCTTTAAAAAAGGGGGTGAGAGGCCGGCGCCGCGGCTCACTAGGCTAATCCTCCACCTTGCGGCGCCTTCACACCGGGTTCTAGTCCCGGTCGGGGCACTGGATTCTGTCCCGGTTGCCCCTCTTCCAGGCCAGTTCTCTGCTGTGGCCAGGGAGTGCAGTGGAGGCTGGCCCAAGTCCTTGGGCCCTGCACTCCATGGGAGACCAGGAGAAGTACCTGGCTCCTGCCATCGGATCAGCGCGGTGCGCTGGCCGCGGCGGCCATTGGAGGGTGAACCAACGGCAAAGGAAGACCTTTCTGTCTGTCTCTCTCTCACTGTCCACTCTGCCTGTCAAAAAGAAAAAAAAAAAAAAGAAAAAAAGAAAAAAAAAAGGGGTGAGAATGGTGCTTTTTTTCTGTTAACTCTGCCACTGGTTTATTTTTAAATGATCAAACTGTAGCTAAGTAATAGCTGCCAATAATCCTTGACATGTTTAATCAATAGACCTGCCTAGCAAAAGGCATTTTCCAAGACTGAAAGCTTAGCCTGCAAACTTTTAACATTGGTTAGCTTTCTTAATAGCAAAGTAAATTTTGCCAAAGTGCCTACTTTTTGCTTGGCTTATACACTGAAGAACTGAATTTCTGACTATTTTCTTCACAGCAACAGTTGGGCTACAAAAAAAATTTCAAGGACAAGTAATCTAAGTAAAAGTGTTATATCAAAAAAAATTTTTTTTCCAAGAATGGCTTTGGCTTTTATGAAACTCAAAAACAGATACATTTGGATGTATTTCTTAACTGTTAGTACTACATAGTTTAAACACCTACTCTACCACCATTTTCCCTAAAATTCTGTTAGCAAAAAACTGCATCAGTCTAAACTCTTTTTAAAAAGAATTACTAGAATCTTAGTACGAATAGGCTATGGGAGGTTACCAAGTTGTTCGAGTAATCAAGTTTTTCAACAAGTGAAAATTATAATGATTAAATACAGTCCCAAGAAAAGGAATTTTAAAAATGCTAGAGAAAAGATGAAAAATAAATAAAACAAAAAGTTAGAAGGTATCACAAAAAAAGCCTATTAAAATATGTTCAAGTGCAGACATTTGGCAGTGGATTACAATGCATTTGGAGATGCCTGCAGCCCATACTGGAGTGCTGGTTTAGCTTCTGATCCAGCTTCCTGCTAATGGGAAGCAGCAGGTGATGGCTCCAGTACTTGGTTCCTTGAGAACCATATGGGAGCACATACTGAGTTCCAGGTTCCTAGCTTTAGGAATCAACAACCAGTCCTGGTTGTTGTGGGCATTCTGAACCAGTGGATGGGAAATATCTCTTTCAAATAAAATAAATAAATTTAAAACATGCTCAATACTTAAATTCTGTGGTTACTTGAATGTTAAAAGGCATTCACCAAAATTCAAGCAATTAACAGGTGACCTAAATTTAAGTACTGGCAACAAAGAACTATTATATATTTAAAAAATGCTCTCATTTTTATTTTCCTGAGTCTATTCTGGCTTCAGATACAAATAAATATAATTATCTAGGAGTTTAGTCCTAAAAATACAGATATTCAGTTACTGTAGAAATTTTCTGGTGTGGAATTTCCCAAAAATACAGGCCAGAAAAGATAGCATTACTAAAATACATTATTAACTAAATGCAGATTTTCTTAAAGGACGGACAACTAACTGAGCACCAAAGGGGAAACTTGTTGAAATGAAATGGACACTATGAGAAACAGTGACTTGATCAGCTCTTGTCCTGACGGTTGATGTACAATGTAATACTTTATCCATTTTAGTATTTTTTTTTGTTCTAGTACCATTGGTTGAACTCTGTAATTAACACACAATTATTCTTAGGTGTTTAAATTTTAACTGAAAAGTGATCCCTGTTAGGAATTTGGAAAACATTATGTTGAGTGAAATAAGCCAATCCCAAAGGGACAAATACCACTTGTTCTCCCTGATAGGTGACAACTAACTGAGCACCAAAAAGGAAACCTGTTAAAGTGAAATGAACACTATGAGAAACGGTGACTTGATCAGCCCTCACCCTGACTGTTGATGAGCAACTTAATATGTTATCCCTCTTAGTATTTTTGTTTGTTTGTTCTACTTAATACTTTTGGTTGAATACTGTAATCAATACACAATTCTTCTTAAGTGCTGAAACTTAACTGAAAAGGGATCTCTGTTAAATATAAGAGTGGGAATAAGAGAGCGAAGAGATGTGCAATTCGGGACATGCTCAAGCTGACTTACCTCAAATGGTAGAGTTAGAAACATACCAGGGGATTCCAATTCAATCCCATCGAGGTGGCATGTACCAATGCCATCTCACTAGTCCCAGTGATCAATTTCTGTTCACAATTGATCATAATGATAGGACTAAGAACCAAAGGGATCACATAAACAAGACTAGTGTCTGCAAATACTAGCTGATAGAATAAAAAAGGGAGAGAATGATCCAACATGGGAAGTGAGATACACAGCAGACCCATAGAATGGCAGATGTCCTAAACAGCACTCTGGCCTCAGAATCAGCCCTTAAGGCATGCGGATCTGGCTGAAAAGCCCATGAGAGTATTTCAGGCATGGAAAGCCAAGACACTCTGGGGGAAAAAAAAAAACCTAAATGAAAGATCTCCACGAGTGAGATCCCAGTGGAAAGAACGGGTCATCAAAGAAGGAGGTACCTTTCTCTGAAGGGAGGAGAGAACTTCCACTTTGACCATAGCCTTTTCTAAATATGATCAGAGTCAGTGAACTCAGGGGGCTTCCATAGCCTTGGCAGCTCATGACAAGAGCCTAGGGTGATTACTGAGGCCATAAACAAGAGTGTCAATTTGTTAAGTCAACAACAGGAGTCACTGTGCACTTACTCCTCATGTAGGATCTTTGTCCTTAGTGTGCTGTACATTGAGATTTAATGCTATAACTAGTACTCACACAGTATTTTTCATTTTATGTTTCTGTGTGGGAGCAAACTGTTGAAATCTTTACTTAATGTATGCTAAACTGATCTTCTGTATATAAAGAGAATAGAAAATGAATCTTGATATGAATGGAAGGGGAGAGGGAGTGGATAAGGGGAGGGTTGCAGGTGCGAGGGACGTTATGGGGAGAGGGAAGCCATTGTAATCCATAAGCTGTACTTTGGAAATTTATATTTATTAAATAAAAGTTAAAAAAAAAAAAGGACAGACATATCAAGAACAATTGCCTATCTGAATTGCAACCTTCAGTTATTTTTAGATGAGGAGATTACATGGTAAGTTTTTTATATGGTCCTTGTCCTTTGGAACCACTGCTAATATTCTGCTAGGAAAGAAAATTGATTGACCTTATTGCTAGCATGCTAAGTACTTGTTTAAAATCAATGGTATTTCACTATTACATACATATAAGTAATAAAAACAAAATGTAATGTAGTATCCTGGGGGGACCCTGGAAGAGAAAAACATAAATCTATGGAACCTTAATAAAATACAGACTTCAGTTAATAATGCATTGATACTGTCTTATTAGTTGAAATAAGTACACTCTAATAATGGAAGATAATAACAATTGGGGAAACTGAGTCTAGTGTAAACGGAAATTCCATTTACTAACTTTACAATTTTTCTGTAAACCCAAAACTATCTTTACAAAAAATTCATTTTAAGGAAGATTATTAAGGAAAAGAAACATGTTCTAAAAATACCATGGCTAATTTTATAATGTGTAAATTTAGAAAATATTACATGCTTCTGGTTCTGAAAGGTTTTCTTCCTTGGATTCTATATGAAAGCAGTGTATTTAAAAGTACTTTAAAACACAAATTATGATAATTAACAGTTTTTACCCTTTCAAGTGTGATTTCTTCATATTCATAATCTGCATCAGTACCATTAACCTAATGGGGGAAAAGAAAAGTAGCTCAGAAATTCAGAGTATAATATCTGAAATGGAAAGACATAATTGTTGTAAGATTTATTAATGAAAACCTGTTAAATATGACAGTAAATCAAATAATATAATTTTAGGGAAGTTTTTTAGTGAATGGAAGAGTAGAAATGTGAGTAATGAGTTCACATTCATGGTTATCATGATTTTCACATAAAAAGGGTATCATTCAACTTTTAATATTATTGAACTCTTTTATTCTGCCTTGATCTACATATTAAATCAGTTGCCAACTTATCCTGATTTGAGTATTTTAACTACTGAAAACCATCACTGCTTCATTCTCATTTCTATTACCTTGATCCAAGTTTTGTTAACTTCTCTGGAATACTGCCAATGAATGCAATCTACCTAATTGCCTACATTAGTATTCCCCAGAGCCCAAATCACTCTCTGTTTTAAAACAGATACATCGTTTTAAAACCCAGACTAATAATACACCTCCAAAACTCACCAGAAACTCTCATTTTTTAGAAATACTCAAACTTCATATCTTGGTAATCAAGGCTCTGTATGAACTAACCTGAATCTACCAGTCACTATCCTTCCTAACACACATTTCCCACCTCTTTATGCTCCTTACATAGCACTCAAATTAAAAAAAAATTTTGTTTTGAAAGTCAGAGTTGAGAGAGAGAGGGAGAAAGAGAGAGAATCTTCCATCTGCTGGTTTACATCCCAGATGGCCGCAACAGCTAGTGCAGGGCCAGCCCAACGCCAGGAGCTTCATCTGAGTCTCCCATGTGCATAGCAGGAGCTCAAGCACTTGGGTCATCTTCCGTTGCTTTTTCCAGGCAATTAGCAGGGAGCTGGATTGAAAGTGGAGCAGCTGGGAGAAGAATTAGCAAGTGGCAGCTTTATCCCGCTAAGCCACAACAGCAGCCCCCACACCAACCCCTTTTAATGACTTGCCCTTTGTATAACACATCCTGCAATTTTCCAGTTCTACAGCTAGAATTTTAGTCCTTCCTGTCACAAATTTCTTACACACATTTCATGTCCAAATCAGATTCACTATTCAAGATCTTGCTCACATCTTAGAAACCGAGCACTTTCTCTTTTTTTCCCCTCCAATTTATTCCTTATTCTCTTCTGAAAGAATTAATTCCAACAGTGAGGGCTACTGGTGAAAGGAAAATAAATATTCTTGAAATCAGATTAAACTAAGTTCAAATCCTCGCTTTAACACTTCTATAGATATAAGGCTGGACAAAAGTCAATTGGGGATTGTGAGAAATTACATTTCTAAAATACTTCATATTTTCTATCCCATATGCTCTTAGAATATAACAAAATCCCACCACCATAATGAGGTGGAGTCTTCTTTCCCCTCCCCCCTTGGATCTAGGCAAGTCCTGTGACTACCTTTGATAAAAGCAATGTGGAATCAATGATGCTGTGTGGTTTCTAAGGCTAGGTCATGTTGCTGTGGATTCGTTTTGAGAGGAGGAGCATGGTGGGGACAAGAGGGTGGACAAGAGGGTGGAGTCACACTCCCCACCCCGTCGGGTGAAAGCGGGCCAGAGGCGAGCAGCCTGCAGACTCATTTATTTCAATTGGTACAGCAGCTTAAATAGCCAAGGCTATTTTAAGGGGGCAGTTTATGCCCTAACCAATCACAGCCTGTTGCCAGGCAATATCCGAAACCATCCAATCACAGCCTGTTGTCAGGCAGGCTCTGTTGCCAGGTTTCCCAGGGGGTTTCCTAAGCCACTCCTGAGTAACTGATGCTTGCTTGCCAGCGGCCATCTTGGCATGGCCTTCTCATTCCACCACAAGGTCATATGACACCTCATAGTGTTTGCCTTTGTCTTAGAATGGATTTTCTTAGCAGCTACAATGAGCAGAAACTCAGGTTACAGGGAGATTCAAAGGAAGAAGCCTTAGCTGCATGTGTGAATGAGGCTATTTTGGACCTTCTAGTCTTTTTCAAAGCCCTAATCAACACTATATAAAGCAGAACAATACAGAAAATCATGAAAAATTATGAATTTTTCTTTTAAGCTACTAGATTTCAGGGTGGCTTATTATGCAATGATACATAATCACAAAATAAACAATGAAAACTAAGTAAGTTACTTTGCTTTCTTCCCTTAAATCAGGTTTAGGTGGCGGGGGAGGGGAGGGGAGGGGGTGGCACTGTGGTGTAGTGGGCTAAGCCTCTACCTACAGCACTGAATCCCACATGGGTATCAGTTCAAGTCCTGGCTGCTCCTCTTCTGATCCAGCTCTCTGCTATGGCCTGGGAAAGCAGTGGAAGATGGCCCAAGCACTTGGGCCCCTGCACCCTAGTGGGAGACCTGGAGGAAGCTCCTGGCTCCGGATCGGATCAGCTCCAGCTGTTGTGAGCATTTGGGGAGTGAACCAGCAGATGGAAGACCTTTCTGTCTGTCCCTCTCTGTTTATAACTTTACCTCATAAGTAAAAAAATATGTAAAATCTTTAAAAAAAGTTAAGAAAATCAGGTTTAACAGTTTTTCCCTTGGGGCTTTTTGAAACCAATCCCCTTTTGGGTTCTTAATTCTCGTGTACCCCATGGATTTAAAACCAAGTATTCTGTTGCTTCTTCCTATTGCTCCCCTGAACACACTTTCATTTTGTTTTAGAGACTGTGTTATGAAAGCATTTTAAAAATATATTTAATGTAACTTTTCTGTTCATCTAGAGTACAAGAGGGTTACACATTTGCTTATCTTGTCAACTTGAATATAAGCCCTTTTTATGAGTAAAAATAAAATTCATTATTTGTAGCTGATCTCCCCTTTCTCATTCTAATGGTTTTTGCTTGGATTTGCTAAAAGGCTAACAGTCTTAAACATGTGATTTTAATGTATGAATGAGTCTATTACATTCTATGCTATTACATTCTACTTTTAACAATTTCTTATTCTTTAGACTTTATTAAAAAGGTCTTTGAGTTGAATGCCAATTATTTTATGCTCACGCTTTCCTATTTCTAAAAACTTTTAATTGAGGTTTATAAACTTTCCTTGGCATATGGCTTTAGCCAAACCCCACAACTGCTACACTGGCTTCTATTTCCGTTCATTTGTTTTTTTCTAAATAGTCTGAAATTCTGTTTTGGAACACATTTTCAAAGGAGTGTGCTAATAAGGCCTTTCTGTTTTTAATATGTAGAAGTTGGTATTATAATCTCATGATTATCCATTAAGGAATTTGAGATTTTCACTAGTAAGTCCCTTTACAAGGTACTTAACAAATGTTCTTGGTGCTTAATTTAATGCCAAGTCAAGATGTTTCTAAGTAGCACAGATTAACTAGGAAAGGTGAAGGGTGAAAAAGCCATATGGGTCTCAATAACTTTATTCCTTAATCCTCAAGAACTTGAAATGGGCAACTTCAAATACAGAGACTTTTCAGTAACAATATGTGCATTCACATTGGGCTTCTACAGGCCAGGAGTACATTACCAAAATGACTTTTGAAGTGGGAAGGTATGTGGTGAGACCATTTAAAATCTACTCTCTCAACAATTTTGAGGTATCAGTGTTCTGTTAATAACTGTACTACTTAACATGTTGTACCCCAGATCAGGCTACTTTTTCCTCCTAACTGAAATTATGTATTCCTGACCAGCATCTTCTCAATTCCACCCCTCTATATCTGGCCCCACTCATTCTACTTCATTTTTTTCATGTTCCACATTTAAGTGCAATCATGAAGTATTTGTCTTTCTCAGCCTGGCCTATTTCATTTAGTTTAATGTGCTCCATATTGACTACGTTGTTGCAAATGACTGAATATACTTCATTTTGTACAGCTGAATAGCATTTCATTGTATACATATGCTACATTTTCTTTATTTGTTCATCAGCCAAAAATACTTGGGTTGTTTCCATATCATGGTTATTGTGAACAATAGTAGAGATATCTCTTCAATTTACTAAGTCAATTTCCTTTGGATGTATACCCAGAAGTGAGACTTCTGGATATCACTCGGTAGTTCTTGTTTTGGTTTTCTGAGGAACTCCCATACTGTTTTTTATGAATGTATTTTGAAATTATATTCCCATAACAGTATATATACAAAGGTGTCCTTTTTCTATTCCCTTGTCAACACTTGCTATCTCTTCTTTTTAATAACCACCATCTTAATGGTATGAAGTGATATCTCAATGTATTTCTGAATGGCATTTCACTGGTTAGGGAGATGCTGAGCATCTCCTGGCCATTTATATGTCTTTTCTTGAGAAATGTCTTTTCAGGTCCTCTCCCCATTATTGTTTTTTTTTGTTTTGTTTTCTTGCTATTCAATTGTTTGAGTTCTTTAGATATATATTCTGGAATACTAACCCCTTTTTCAGATTTATTGATCTCAAATATTCTGATTCTGTAGGCTGTCTCCTCACTTTGTTGATTGTTTCCTTGGCTGAGCAGAAGCTTGAAACAGTCCTATTCGTCTACTTTCCCTTTTGATTCTATTTATGTGCAAGATCTAGAACAGACAAACTGATAGTGACTGAAAGTGGTTGCCAGGGCTGGGGATAGGAAAGAATGGGAGGAAGTGCTAGTAGGTGTACTGGTTTTCTCTACAGGGTGATGAAAATGTTCTGGAATTGGAAAGTGATGATGATGGCTCAACACTGTGAGTAGACTAAAAATATTTAATTGTACATTTTAAAAGGGTGGATTTTGTGGCTCATGAAGTACTTTTTAAGGGATAAGGGTAAATAACAATATAAATCCACATTAAAACAATAAGTTAATACATTTTTAAACACATTAAGATGTTTATTATGACACTGTGCTAGTGGCAGTATGGGGTAAAATGATACATTTTGTTGAAGTGTAAGTGGGCACAACTTTATAAATGATCATGATCATTCATGATCAAATCTAAACATTTTCTAAGCAATTCTATTTATACAAATTCTGATTATGCATTTGTATGTACACAAAAATATCTACAAAATTATCACTACGGCATTGATTTTATATGGTAAAAGTCTGGAAATACTTAGATATGCTTGCATCTGCATAATGTTTATAGAAGGATATATATAAAAACATGCCAACACATTTTCCTTTCAATAACAGGAACTGTAGGAGTGAGAGCAGGGGTGGGAGAAAGATTTACTTTTGCATCGTTTCAATTTTGTACAGTGTGTATGTGCTACCCTTTCAATTGATTACTTAACTTGGGAAAGTATGACTGCAGCTGGAAAAAATGTGCTCTAAGGTGGCGATGAAAATTCTATTTTTACCCATCAATACATAATTGGTATTAAGTAGTCGGGAATTAACAAAGGAATAACAAGTTTAAAAACCATATATTTTAAATTTCAGAATTAAATTCTTCAGTCTCCTAAAAGCCTAAAGTTGTTTTACCCAAACAATACATTGTTTGGCTTACATGTATGATTCAAGATTATCCAATTATTAGCTGGAAGTTTTTTGAAGATTTATATTTTTATTTGAAAAGAAAGAGTTACAGAGAAGCAGAGGCAGAAAGGGAGAGAGAGAAGTCTTCCATCCTCTGGTTCACTCTCCAAATGGCTGCAATGGACAGGGCTGTGCTGATATGAAGTAGAAGCCAGAAGCCCAAGGACTTGTGCCATCTTCTACTGTTTTCCCAGGCCACAGCAAAGAGCAGGATCGGAAGTGGAACAGCCAGGACTCAAATCGGCACCCAAATGGGATGCTGGCACTGCAGGCAGTGGCTTAATCACTATGCCACAGTGCCAGCCTGGAAAGTGTTTTAAAGCAAAAACATTTAATCACTAACTCTGCCCCTAAGCAAAACATACCTCTACACAAAGAAGGAAATACTAAGAACTCTGATTGACTAAGTATTCTACATCAGTGTGAAAAATAATACTGTGGGCTGGCGTTGTGGTGTAACAAGTAAAGCTGCCACCTGTGACGCAGACACCTCATATGGGTGGCAGTTCATGACTTAGCTAACTCCACTTCTGATCTAGCTCCTTGCAAACAGTCAGGGAAAAGCAGAAGATGGCCCAAGTGCTTGGGCCCTTATCCCCCAACATGGGAGACCCAGATGAAGTTCTTGGCTTCTGCTTGCCTCAGCCCTGGCTGTTGGGCCACTTGGGAAGCAAACCAGTAAACGGGAGACCTTTCTCTGTCTCTCACTCTCTGTAACTCTTTTAAATAAAATAAATCTTTTGAAAAAGAAAAGAAAAGTAATACTGAATGAAAAATGAAGGGTGGGGAAGGAAAGCTCAGAACAGCCTTTTGAGTTTGGTATTATGTCACACTATTTGAAACTTTTAAAAATCTCCAAAGATTTGATAAACTCATATTCATATAAATAGAATATAAAGTCAAATAAAATGCTTTAAAATACAAACTAAAAATGATTTACAGTTCAAAAATGAGAGAAAAGAATTTTACACTCTATAAAAGTGCACCATTTGATTAAACATCACCACCACACAAGTACTACCCTTCTAATCTCTGAAAACATTTCCTTGAGGTGAAATATGTTAGAACAGATCATGCTGTTCTGGCTACTGACCTTTAAGGGAAGCAAGATCTTTTAACAAAATAAGCTTAGAGAAAAGTGCTAATCAATTTAAAATCAAGAAGTTATAACACTATTATAATATATAAGCACACACACAAACCTGATAATTAAAAGTTGAGTCGCTCACTTAGACTTCTAAAATGACTGCTTGAAAATAAGGTATTTTGTGAAGTGACCACTGGGCAGAGACAGCCTCTACCGAAAATTAGTAATCATCATAACTTTAAAATTAAACCTTAACTTGTATTTTAAGATTTTTGCTTTGTGCAAACATGAACAAAGAAATCAGGGCCAGTGTTGTAGCACAGTGGGTTAAGCAGCCACCTGTGATGCTGAGTCCTGGCTGCTCCAATCCAGCTCCCTGCAAATCCTGTGATGCTGAGTCCTGGCTGCTCCAATCCAGCTCCCTGCAAATGTACCTAGGAAAGCTGCAGAAGCTGGCCCAACCACTTGGGTCCCACCACCCACTTGGGAGACCTGGAGGAGTTTCAGCCTCCTGGTTTTGGCCTAGCTCAGCCACAGCTATGGCATCCATTTGTGGAATGAATCAGCAGATAGAAGATCTGTCACTCTGCCTTTCAAATACACGAATCTTAAAGAAACCAACCAACCAACCAAAACAGGGCAGATTTTCTTCATTTACTATAGCAATTACAGACATAGTATGTAACACAGTCTTAAGTAAAAGCATATTACATAAACTAATGCTGTGATCTTTGTATCAAACCTGAATATAAAAAGCAGAATTATTACATGTAGGGAGGAAATGGAACTTACATAAGTTGGTGTTTCCAAGCTGTCTGTGTTGACCAGTACTGGAGGAGGATTTGCCTTTAAAGAAAGAATTATAAATGCATCAGCATACAAGGAAATCAAAACATATTAAAGTTCACAAAAGCTAGACACTTAAAAAGGAATTATTGCTTTTTAACTTTTAATTTTATATGAGAGCTTTATATATTTAAACATTATATCCATTTTCTAGCATCAAATAGAAAAAAACAGGTCTAAGCACTCAAATTACATTTGCTTTGGTGAAATAAATTGCTATTTCTCCTAAAAAAGCTATAATTTTCTTCAAATCTGCAAAGAAGTTCATGATAGCCATTTCATAAAATCTATGAATAATCTGTAGTATGACAAACTCTTCCTGGGTTGCACAGTCTCAAGAATCCCATAATTCCAATAATTTTATTACTCAGAAAAATTCTCCCTTGCACTGACTTGTATTTGAATATGAAAAAGTCTGTCACACAAAAAAATTAACTGCAAACTTCTGCAAAATTAGAAGCACTGTCTTAATGTAAAAGCTCCTGGTTATTTTCCATTGCAATTTATTGCTCTAGGCTACTTGTAGAATAACAACAGATTATGTACATCTAAGTAAGTTTGTTGTGAAAAAAGTTTGATTTCTTGGTTTAGAAGTGATTATTATGCAGGTGAAAGTAAAGAATAAAATGTAATAACAAATAAAAACCATCATAAAACTGATGTGATTCACTGCAAAATTATTTCTTTTATACTATAAGGTACCCAAACAACATTTTGCAGAATTAAAAAAGATAACTATTATTTAATGTTTTAGCTTAGAAACATTTATAGTTATATTCCAATTAACCAGTAATTCCACATAAATGGGTTGGTGTTGCAGCACAGTTGGTTAAGCCACCACCTGTGACTCTAGCATCCCACTATCAGAGTGCAAGTTGGACCCATGACTGTTCCCCCTTGAGATCCAGCTCCCTGCTGATGTGCCTGGGAAAGCAGCAGAAGATGGTTCCAGTATTTAGGCCACAGTCTTCTATTGGAATATGCAAATGGGAGTTTGGGCTCCTGGCTTTGGCCTGGTCAAGCCCTGGCCACTGTGGTCATTTGAGGAGTAAAACAGCAGATGAAAGATCTCTGTGTCTCCCCTTCTAGCTGTAACTCTAGCTTTTAAAAAAACAACTAAATCTTTAAAAATTAATGATAATTTATTCTGCTTAAACAATTATAGAAGAGGAGGTTAAGAAAAAAGGGTACTTAAAGTTATAAAAGAAGTTATATTCTTCAAATACTATGTAAAGAAAGCCATTTGCTTCTCTCTGATCATTTATTTCCAAATATGAAATAGAAAAAGTTTTTATAAAAATATATTTACACCAAGATTATTATGTTAGTTGCTTGTCAGCAACAACTCATCATTGCATAGTTATCTTCTGATTCTAGTAATTTAACATTACTAGAGGTTAATACTGAAATATATAGAAACAAAATGATATATGGTCTTATATTTACTTCACAATAAAACGAAGTTGGTTTTAAAAAGGCTATGGATTAAATAACTCACATGAATTGACTGCTGTAGCTGGGCAATAGGTATACATGGAGCTCACTGTTCTATTTCCTTTACATTTAGCTATTTTTTTTTATGACAGGTAGACAGAGAGAGAGAGAGAGAGAGAGAGAGAGAAAGATCTTCTTTCCGTTGGTTCACTCCCCAAATGGCCGGTATGGCCGGCACTGCACTGATCTGAAGCCAGGAGCCAGGAGCCAGGAGCCAGGTACTTCCTCTGGGTCTCCCATGCAGGTACAGGGACCCAAGCACTTGGGCCATTCTCCCTGCCCTCCCGGGCCACAGCAGAGAGCTGGACTGGAAGAGGAGCAACTGGGACTAGTACCCGGTGCCCCAACCGGGACTAGAACCCGGGGTACCAGCGCTACAGGTGGAGGATTAGCCTAGTGAGCCATGGTGCCGGCCCACATTTAGCTATTTTTGAAATATTGGATGATAAAAAGTAAAGCAAAAAAAAAAATCACAAATAGTCTGCAAAAGGTTAATACAGCAGTTGTGAAATACAGGTTACAGTTGCTGCTATTAAGATATTAGCATTCAAATTATAAAACTGGCTTTAATGTTGAGAATTCATTCTAAGAACAAACACAATAGGGGATGGTGCTGTGGTGTAGCGGGTAAAGTGCAGTGCCAGCACCCCATATGGGCAGTGGTTCAAGTCCTGGCTGCTCCACTTCCATTCCAGCTCCCTGCAAATGCACGTGGGAAAGCAGTAGAAGACAGCTCACGTCTTGGGGCCCCTGTACCCATGCAGGAGACCTGGAAGAAGCTCCTGGAAGAAGACCTGGAAGAAGCTAGACTGATCCGGAGAGTGAACCAGCAAATAGAAGATCTCTCACGCTGCCTCTGCCTCTCCCTCTCTGTAACTCTGCCATTCAAATAAATAAATCTTTAAAATAAAAAAGAACACAATATACAAAGAATATACATACAGTAATTATTTTTGTAGCTATATCTCAAAATTGAGTGAATGATCATACCTGAAAAGAAACCATGGAAATAAAAGGACTTGAAAACACACACACACACATACACACACACACACAGTACTCACATCAAGAATCCACAATTTCAATCAAAACTAGTATCAGGGTGGTAAGAAAATCTAGAAATTTGAAGAATACATATCACAAAGAATGGTCCAAAGTAAAAATCCACAGAAATGAAGTTCAAGAGGCATGATATAATTGCCTCCAGTTTAGCCACTGAAAATATGATACACATATCTAAGACTGATTGTGTTACAAGGTAGCAAATTAAAATGCCTGTGTTTGAATAAATCATTTCCTTTTCTACAAACTTGAGATATATATATTATATATTTATATATATATATATATATATATACACGATTTTATTTAATTATTTGAGAGAGAGAGTTACAGACAAAGAGGTGGCATCAGAGAGAAAGGTCTTCCATCTGCTGGGTCACTCCACAAATAGCTGCAATGGCTGGAGCTGGATCGATCTGAGGCCAGGATCCAAGAGCTTCCTCCAGGTCTCCCACGTGGGTGCAAGGGCCCAAGCACCTGGGCCATCTTCCACTGCTTTCTCAGGCCATAGCAGAGGTGGACTGGAAGAGAAGCAGCGGGACCAGAACCAGCACCCACATGGGATTCTGGCACTGCTGGTGGAGGCTCAGCCCACTATGCCACAGTGTCTGACGCGACTATTTTCTAATATTACATAACACAGAAATAGTATGTAATAAACTAGTACTCCATAGCGCTCCAATTTGGTGGAGGTGGGAATGGGACTGAACTGGGTAGCACAATTTGAATGGGGTTAGCAGGTGTGTGTAACTCAGAAACAAACAATATTCCAGCATCAAACCTACAAGTGTTCTAGCAGCAAAGCTAAAGAACAGGCTGCTTTAGAAGGAAGAGATGTAGAACATATGGCTACAAAAAATAGTACTTTCAGGTAGTTGAAGTGAAGAGTGAAAGCTTATCTGGCCAATTTAAGACCCTAGGATCCTCAGTGAAGATGGTGGGTAGTGCAACAGGTAATACGGAATTACCAACTTTGCTTAGCAGAAAACCAAGAAGATTTGAGGCAAATCTGTGTAAAAGCTATTTCAAATAAAAAAATAAAGAAAAACAAAAAACAAAAAACCCTCTTCTCCAACTCTTTCAAGTGACATTGTATCTCAAGACATGGGGTTCCAGGTTTCTCTACCTCACAAGGTAGCTACCATTTAGTGACACCTGAATACAGGTAAATCAGAACTACTACTGGAACTAATTTTCTCCCTTTGTGAAGACCCAGTAACACCTGCCTTTACCCTGGAGGACAGTAGGAGGCCCCAAGAAGTACTAGAAAGGAAACATCTATCGTAAACCTCAGGAAACCATATAAATGCTCTATTATTATTTACCAGTAATATACAACATTGTGTACGTTTCAATTTGGACAATAATGAAGTTCTACAATTTTCTTGCCGATTGAGAGAAAGAGGTAGTAAAAGAGCAATTTGACCCAAGCATCAATAATAGCACTTAAGAAACTTTTCTTATCTAACTTTTACTATTCTATTTCATTAGCAAAAGATCTTGTAATGATTATTGCAACAGCAGACTTTAGCATCCTTATAAAATTCCAGAGGATATAACATTTGCAAAACATGTTAAAATACTATTAATATCCAGTTATTTAAAAGTAGGCTAAAATGAACAGCTCAGAAAATGCTTTCAATGCGCTTGTGTTTTTCCTTATAAGCATTTATTAACATTTCATGTCCCTTGTTTAATGTCCTTCTCTCCATTATTAAATCATAAACATGTATTTTTTTCAAATGTAGAACTTACAAACCCCAGAAAACACAACTCATATTCTAATCTGAGACACACTGCATTAAAAGTTAAATGCTGGGGTCGGCGCTATGGTGCAGTAGGTTAATCCTCTGCCTGAGGTGCCGGCATCCTATATGGGCACCAGTTCTAGTCCCAGATGCTCTTCTTCCGATCCAGCTCTATGCTGTGACCTCGGAAAGCACTAGAAGATGGCCCAAGTCCCTGGGTCCCTGCACCCACATGGGAGACCAGGAAGAAGCTCCTGGCTCCTGGCTTAGGATCAGCACAGCTCTGGCTGCTGCAGCCATTTGGGGAGTGAACCAATGGAAGGAAGACTTTTCTCTCTGTCTCTCCCTCTCACTGTCTGTAACTCTACCTCTCAAATAAATAAAATCTTTTTTAAAAAAGTTAAATGCTATCACAGAGGTGATTGCAGAATGCTCTAATGATTATAGAAACTAATGGAATGGATTTTGTCTCTCCACCTGGACAACTGCATGGGCAGATTCTGTCTGAGGTAATACTAGAGAATTTTGGAGTCTACTGAAGGCTTGCAACTTTCAAGTGAAGGCTTGGACAATAAATTATGATGAATTTTCATCACTTTTAGCTTCAGCACAATGGCAACTATGCACCCCCTTCCCTCAGTTCTGTGGCAGGCAGCTGTGCAATGCTCATGACACGTCTTACCCATAGCTTCCAAGAGTCAAGGTAGGCAAAAAAGATTCTGTCCTCCAAATACTGCAGATCCATAATCTAATACTGGTTCTGATCACAGAGGTACAGACAGGTGCCATTTTACATCTCCTCTTGCTTTGGCTGAACTGCCTTTCAAATGGGCCTGTTTCCTTCTATTCATTTTTCTTTTTCACCATTTGGAAGTTAGACATTGAAGGCCATGATGTTAAAAAGCAACTACAGGGGCCAGTGTTGCAGTGCCAGCATCCCATATGGGCACCGGTTTGAGTCCCGGCTGCTGCACTTCCGATCCAGCTCTCTGCTCTGGCCTGGGAAAGCAGTAGAAGATGGTCCAGGTTCTTGGGCCCCTGCACCCACGTAGGAGACCTGGAAGAAGCTCCCGGCTCCTGGCTTCAGATCGCCTCAGCTCTGGCTGTTGTGGCCACTTGGGGAGTGGAACAGCAGATGGAAGACCTCTCTCTGCCTCTCCATAACTCTGCCTTTCAAATAAATAAATAAATCTTTAAAAAAAAAAGGCAACTATAAATATACAGGGAAATTTAGAAAGTCACTGTGCATGTGCAGGGAGAAAACATAGGCTCCCCGTAAGAAGACACTGAGTTTAAGTATCAAGCTATCCTCAGTAGCTTACAACAATCAGAAAAACAAAATAATAATAGAAAAGAAAACCCTGGAGAACAGGGAGAATCTGATTTTTGGATTCAAATACACAGTTTAAAAAAATTTTTTATAAAATACAACAGCTAAAATGAAAAACATCACTGGAGGGACTGGAAGGCAGATTTGAACAGGCAAAATACAGTTCATTAGGGAAACAAATTCAGGATTCCAGATTAAGGTGGACATAGGTCTGGTCCTATGATGTAGCAATATTTGTCTGCCAGGGCTGCAGAAGGGGAATGATTTCATAATTGAAAAATCAAAGAGGAACTTGACTAGAAGCCTGTGTTACATTGCTTTACATATACTTTAGGAGTTAGCCCCTCAAGGAGTCTTGCTAGTATTTCTGTCCCTACTAGGAAGGCTCGTAATATACTTTATGGTGCTGCCACCTGGTTTGGCAGGTGGTCTGCACAGGGGCAAGATTCAACATGCAGTTATTATGGTTTGCTGTTACACAAAGGGGCAGAGGATATATGGAGAGATAATGGCCCAAATCTCTCAAATTTTGATGAAAGGTATGAATAAAAACATCCAAGAAGCTCAAGGAACTTCAAGTTGGATGACGCCAAGGAGACTGACACTCTGACACATGATGAAACTGCATAAGGCCAAAAACAAGGGGGGATTTTTGAGAGCAGCAAGAGAAGTGACTTACAACCTATCAGGGATTCTCAATAAGACTACTAACAGATTTCTTGGGGCTGGCAAGATTTCTTGTGGTATAGCAGGTAGGGCCACTGCCTGCAGTGATGGCATCCCATATGGGTGCTGGTTCAACTCCCAGCTGCTCCACTTCTGATCCAACTTTCTGCTATGGCCTGGGAAAGCAGTAGACATGGCCCTAGTCTTTGGGCCCCTGTGCCCATGTAGGAGACCTGGAGGAAACTGCTGACTCCTGGCTTTGGATTGGCGCAGTTCTAGCCGTTGCAGCCATCTAGGGAGTGAACCAGTATATGGAAGACCTCTCTCTCTCTACCTCTGCCTCTCTGTAACTCTGCCTTTCAAATAAATACATCTTTTAAAAAATTATTAAATTTCTCACTAGAAACACTTGAAGCTAGAAGGCAGTAAGGTAGATATATTCAAAGTATCAAAATATCAGGTAAGAAATCTTGTATCTGGTAAAACAGTCAAAAGTGAGGAACAGGAGTGGGTACTATGGCACACTGAGATATTACTTGATACCATTGCATCTGATATTGAAATGCTGATTTGAATTCTGTCTACTTCATTTCCAATCCAGCTTCTTTCTAACAAGTCTGGGAAGGATGCAGATGATGGCCCAAATACTTGGGTTCCTACCCAATGTGAGACCTGTATGGAGTTTCAGGCTCCTGGCCTTGTCCTGGCCCAACCTCAGCTGTTATGGCATTTAGGGATTGAACCAGCAGAGGAAGATTTCTCTCTCTCTCTCTCTGCCTTTCAAATAAATAAATATATCTCAAAAAAGAAATATGAGGAAGAAATTATGACATTTTTAGAAGAACAAAGGTTAAGGGATTTCATTACCGTTAAATCCGCCTTGGAAGGAGTGGTACTAGCAGTCAAATTAAAATGAAAGGACAACAGAAAGTAACTCAAACCCATATGAAGAATTAAAGGTTTTAGTAATGGTAAATTCATAGATAATTATAAAAGATAGTATAGGCTGAGTATCTCTTATCTGAAATCCTTGGGGCCACAAGTATTTCAAATTTCAGATTTCTTAAAATTTGAGAGTATTTGCTTATATACAATGAGATATTCTGAGGATGGGACCCATGTCTAAACACAAAATTAATTTGTTTCACGTACCTCATACACACAGCATGAGGGTAGTTTTTAAATTATATTTTTAGGCTAAACAGAGTGAGCACCCATCCACTGGTTCACTCCTGAAACACCTGCAATGGCAGGGGCTGGACCAGGGCTGGAGGTGGGAGACAGGAATGCAACCCAGGTCTTTCATATGGATGACAGGAACTCAATTACTTGAGTCATCACATGTCTACCAGGTTCTGCATTGTCAGGAAGCTGAGTCAGGAGCTAGAGCTGGGAATCAAACCCAGATACTCTAATGTTGGATGCTGAAGTATTTGTTGCTAGGCTAAATGTCTGCTCCTATGAATATAATTTTACATAATATTTTAAGTAATTTTTTAAATAAAAGTTCCATGGCGTGGAATTTTGCACTTGTGGTATTACTGCAAGTTCTCATGTTTTGGGTTTTGGAATTTTGGATTAGGGATGCTTAGCCCATAGTGCAATGATAGTGTGCAAATCCACTTTTGGTTTTCTACATAATTTAAGAGAAAAACATATTTAAAAAATTGTTAGCCAAAGAGCTAGATCTTAACCCAAGATAATAAAGTCTGATTTAGTAAATAAGTGAAATCAATTATTAGCCTCAAGGCTGCTATTCTGTTAACTTTGGCTTTGAATTCCACATTTTGTCTTCTACATAAAGAGATTATTACTTTGTGTTTCTGAACATAGAAGTGCCAGAGAAATTATGTGGTTTCATCTCTAACAGGAAGAATTAGCATCTGCTACTCACCTACTATGTGCTCAGTTCCTATGTGGAAAAACTATGGCTTTGAAAAGTTCAGTTATTTTCTCACCATCACACAACTAGAAATGGGTAAGGCTAGGAAGAGGTAGGGTCAGGTCTGAGTATAAATTCTATGCTCTTTCTGTAGCTTTAAGCAGCAAATGATTTGTCTACCACTTCATATACTAAGCATAACAATTCTTTTGTGCGGAGGGCTTTCATTAGGTTCAGGTGATACGATCAATGTAAGAGAACTCTAAAGTATAAATGTTCTACATATAATGAAAGATAATATGATCATTCATTCCTTCTGTCTGTGTAAACTGCCCAACTCTGAACTTAATTTTGAAGTAGTCAAGGTAGATGAACAAGGTTTAAAACTAATAGGGTAGAGGGGCCAGCACTGTGTCGTAGTGGGTAAGGCCACCGTCTGCAGTGCTGGCATACCATATGGGTCCCAGTTCGAGATCCAGCTCTCTGCTATGGCCTGGGAAAGCAATAGAAGATGGCCCAAGTCCTTGGACCCCTGCACCCACAGGGGTGACCTGAAAGAAGGTCCTGGCTCCCAGCTTCAGATTTAATTTGAGAAGGTTTAGATTTACAAAAAAAGTTGCAAACATAGCACAGAGAGTTCCCGTATATTTGAAGACATATGGGTTATTATTTTAAATTAATAAGTGTGAATTATGTTATCTAACTAAGGACAGAGGATAAACATTTCCAAAGAAGATATATATATATATATATATATATGATGAGAACCAAAGTAGTATAGGATATGATACATTCAGTACAAGATCAGAAGTATAATGACTTTTATTATCTTTAGAAAATACAGTGTTCTAAAATAAAAACAATTTAATTCTGTTTTAAACAGATTTACGAGTGCAAAAGCATGACAGCACATAGAAGGAGGCTGAGCATGAATAAGTTCAGAATGTGTCCTATTTTAAAGACAACCAAATAAAATGGCAAATGCTGAGACCATTTTATGTTAAATCCCAAATATTTAATTCCCCCAAAATACCAACTGAAGCTCAAAATAAATCACCAAATCAAACAAAAGGTAGTCAAAACAGTTTAAAAGAACATAAACAAAACATTAAACACAAATGAAATACTTATGAAGAAAAAAAGAAACCAATAAAAACCTGTGGTGTGGTGGGTAGGATGACAGTATTCTCAGCAGGGACTGGCAGGACAGGGATCACAGGGACAGTGGGAGAAGAGGGAGGAACAGCTTCTGTTGGCTAAAAATCATCAATGACAAAAAATCAGGAAAGACACCAAAATAAAAGGAAAACATATAACAGAAAGTTGTGTCATAAATTATAATTTTTAGAAATGACTATGAAACAAGTACATTAAAATAATACCTTAAGTAATGAGAAAACACACTCTAGAAATTACTTTAGAAATAACAATACCATCACCAATAATTTTAATGATTCTGTAGTTAAAATGATTGAGTATTCCTTGGATGTTTAAGTGAAAATAAGAAAATATAATCAATCACACTATTTCTCTCCTAGTAGGTAACACTTGTTTATAGAACATAATATTTTCCCAACATTCAGAATATGTATATGACTGACTTCTTTGCATTCAAAAACAGAAAAGTAATATTAAGAGCCCTTTAGCAGACAATGAGGAGTTATAAATCCACAAAGGCTCAAAGTACTTCAAAATTGAACTTATAGTAGTTTTAAACAATCTGTGTTAATAACTCCTTCTATCAAGAATAATACCTTGCCCAAACCAGCCTATACCATCATTAATTCAAATAAAATTCAATAACTTTCTATCATGTGTCAGACATATTCTGGCATATACGACAAACAAAAGTATATAGAGAACTCTGGTAAAACAATGTAAACTAAGAGGTTTTGACATTTGTTCAGTTATTCTATTTCGCTTGATTTAATTATTTTAAGAACACAGAACAAGTGCTTTGTAACATGACCCGATTTCTTTTTTTTTTAACTTTTATTTAATGAATATAAATTTCCAAAGTACAGCTTATGGGTTACAATGGCTTCCCCCCTATAACGTCCCTCCCACCCGCAATCCTCCCCTTTCCCACTCCCTCTCCCCTTCCATTCACATCAAGATTCATTTTCTATTCTCTTTATATACAGAAGATCAGTTTAGCATACATTAAGTAAAGATTTCAACAGTTTGCTCCCACACAGAAACATAAAATGAAAAATACTGTTTGAGTACTAGTTATAGCATTAAATCTCAATGTACAGCACACTAAGGACAAAGATCCCAACAACATGACCCAATTTCTAAAAGCTGGATTGATTCATAAATATTTGCTGCACAAATGACATATAAATAAGAAACACTAAAATCAAAAGAGGACAAAGTGCAATAGCAGAGGCTTACAAAATTAAGAACAAATTGCTAAACTTGAAACTATGCTTAGTCTCACTGATAAATACAAAATAAAATTATAATAATGACCATTTTGCCTACCAAATTAGTCAACCAAACTTTGTTAAAAAGGTATGGAGTGTCGGGGCCAGTGCTATGGTGTAGCGGGTAAAGCCACCATCTGCAGTGCTGGCATCCCATATGGATGCTGGTTCTAGTCAGCTGCTCCACTTCCGACCCAACTCTCTGCTATGGCCTGGAAGATGGTTCAAGTCCTTGGGCCCCTGCACCCACATGGGAGACCCAGAAGAAGCTCCTGGCTTCAGATCAGTGCAGCTCCTGCTGTTGCCATCAACTGGGGAGTGAACCAGTGGATGGAAAACTTCCCTCTCTCTGCCCACTCCCCTTCCCCCCACCTCTGCCTCTCTGTAACTGACTTCAAATTAAATAAATCATAAAAAAAAGATACAGAATGTCTTCAACAGTGGCAATGAAACAACTATCTACATGCAAAAGAATGAAGCTGTGTTCCTATACCTTACATTATATGTAAAAAATAACTTGAAAAATGGATCAACAACCTAAATTAAATATCTAAAACCATAAAACTCTTTGAAGGAAATAAATGCACAGTAAGACTCCCATAACCTTGGATTAGGAACTGGATTCTTAGATATGATACCAAACCTATAAGTGACAAAAGACAAAAAAAACACAAATCTTTTAGCCTAAGAATTAAAACCTTTGGTGCATCAAAGGGTATATCAAGAAAGCTGAGAAGAAAACCTACAGAATGAGAGGAAACATTCATAAATCAAACATCTGATAAGGGTTTAATATCCAGACTATACAAGGAACTTCTATAATCAGCAACAAAAAGACAAAAAAACCTAATTACAATGTGGGCAGAGAACTTTAACAGACATCTCTGTGAGAAGGTGTCCAAGATGCTCAAAGGCTAGGTGTGTGGCCTGGTGGTTAAGCTGCTGGCTGGGATGTCTGCATCCCATATCAGGGTGCCTGCATTTGAGCCCCGGCTCTGCTACCAATGAAGCTTCCTGACAATGTACACCCTGAGAAGCAGCAGGTTTTTGGCTCAATTTGTTGGGCCTCTGCTATCCACATGAGAGATCTGGGAGGAAATTTTGGTTCCTGACTTCAGCCTGGCCCAGGGCTAGCGATTGTAGGCATTTGGGGAGTAAATCAGTGATCAGCTGTGCTCTCTCTCTGTGCCCCCTTACACCACAAAATAAAAGGAGAGACAGAAGGGGGCAGGGGGTAGAGACTCAAATCATTAATCATTAGAAAAGTACAACCCAAATATATGAGATATCATTTCATACTTTTTAGGAAAATTTAACAAAACAACAGAGTAAAAAGTGGTGGCAAGGATGTGAAGAAACCAAACTCTTGTACAATGCTGGTAAGAATGTAAAATGTACAGCTTCTGTGGAAAATACTCTGGTGGTTCCTCAAAAACCTAAACAAAAGAATTACCACATGACCCAGTATGGTTCTACTCCCAGGTTTGCAAGGGTACTTGTGAAGTAAGCTTATTATGGTACAAAAAGCTTTTTAAATACATGCAAAGTTTGTTCATAATGTGTATTTACCATCAATTTTTTGAAGACTTCCTCATATATACCCTAAAAAATTGATTAAAAAAACCTCAGCTATGTCAATGTTTATTACAGCATTGTTCACAACAGCCAAAAGGTGGAAACAAATAGGTAAATGGATAAACCAAATACACATATGATGAATATTATTTAGCCTTCAAAAAGACTGCAGTTCTGATACCAGCTGGAAGACAGATAAACCTCAAGAGCATGAAGTGAAATGAGATACAAATGGCCAAGTATTGTATAATCTCACCTAAATGTAAGTTTTGTGTTATAAATTTAACCCTCCTTGTCGCTCCCCCTCTTTGTGGAGGAACGACACAGGACCCTGCGCTGTTCTTTCTGTCTGCTCGGCCCTCCCCGGGTATGCTGCTGGTTCTTCCCGGGTTGGCTACTGTCCCTTCCACCTCCGTGGAAGGGCGGTTCCCCCTGGCCACTTTCCCCACTTCCGCAGGGGAGTGGCACACCGCCGGCCGGCTCTCTCGGGGGCTGCACAGGCGTTCCCTCAGATGTTCCCCTTAGATGTTCCTGGTGCATGCCGTCTCTCTCCTCCTTTATAGTCCTCCTCTGCCAATCCCAACTCGGCTGCCCACACGCCGAGTACACTGCTCTCCTCCAATCAGGAGCAAGTCCTACAGTTTATTGGCTGAACTGGAGGCAGCTGTGCAGAAGCTGTTTTCTTCTCTCCCAGCACCATATTGTGGGAGAGCAGATGCATAGAATAAGTCTTAATTCCAGTAACTTAGTCTAGTCTGGGTTGCTCCCCACAGATCCCCCTTTCTTTTTATTTTTTGGCGTTGATACGCGCCTGTCTTCGGTGTCCCGCGGCACACACTCTGCTCTACTTGCTAGAGTTGCCACAGGTTCTTACAAGTCCTATCAATCAGGCAAACCGAATCCGGGTCCTCTCTTCGCCATGTTGTGAGGAGGTTTTTAGGCGCTGATGCGTGCCTGTGTTCGGTGACCTGCGGCTCATACTCTGGTCGAGCCGCCTGCTGGTGCTTACCGCCTTACTAATCAGGCAGACCGAATCCAAGCCTTCTCATTGCGGTATTGTGGGGAGACTATTGATGTTGATAACGTGCCTGTCTTCGGTGACCTGCGGCGCATAAGCTGCTAGCCGCCCGCAGGTGCTCATCGCCTCACTAATCAGGCAGACCGAATCCAAGCTCTCTCATTGCTGTGTTGTGGGGAGGCCTTTCTATTTCTCTATTTCTCTATCTCCGGGCATTCCTATTTCTCCCATTTTACTTCTATCTTCCAGCATTCCTATTTCTCTCATTTTACTTCTAAACTTCTGTTTCTCTTATCCCTGCGGCTTCCCGGCGCCCGTCCCGAGGCTGCTTCTCGGCGGCTTTCCGGCTCTGAGCCGCTTCAGCCCGCGCCTCTCTCATCTGCGCGGCTTTGCACTAGCCCAGCATTCCCTATCTACTTGAGCCCCGCACGCTCTGTCTGCGCGCGGCAGCCTCCGCGAGTCACACAGCGTGGCTTACGTCTCCGCCACTAGCATTCAATCTAAGTTCCCCGGGCTAACCTGGCGAATTCAACCCAGCTCACGTCTCCGCCCCACGGTTTGGCTTCCCGTCCTCTGCTCCCCGGGCTAATCAGACGGATCCCAACCTGGCTTACGTTTCCGCTTCTGGTTTCAACTTTTCGCCCCCTATTCCTGGGCTAACTTGAGAATCCCAAAGTGGCTTTCGTCTCCGCCTTGCCGTCTCTCTCCTCCTTTATAGTCCTCTTCCACCAATCCCAACTCTGCTACCCACACGCCGAGTACGCTGCTCTCCTCCAATCAGGAGTAAGTCCTACTCTCTAAAAATTATTAATTTTGACTTATTTGAAAGACTAGGTGGTCGTGGGAAAAGATGAGGGAAGGAGAAGAACCGAGACAAAGAGGGGAAGGAAAGGGAGAGGGTGAAGGATTGAGGGGGTGGGGAGAGGGAGAAAGATCAGCCTGCAACAGCCAGAGACCAGCAAATCTATCCAGGTTTTCCTGTGGTTGGCAAGACCCAAGACCTTAGCCATCATTTGCTGTCTCCCAGGGTGTGTCTGAGTAGGAATCTGGAATTGGAAGTAGAGCTGGGATACTAACTCAGGTACTCAGATACAGGATGCAGGAGTCCCAGATGGTGTCTTAACCACTGTGCCAAATGCTTGCCTCAATGAATACATAATTTAAATACATAAATGCAGAATGAGAGATGGGAAATCTATTGATCTCTTACCACCACATTTTTTAGAAAATAAAC